AGTTCAGAATTCTCTCAGCAGTTCATCTTTTGGTGCCATCTTGCTGATATATTTGTGAATGCTTCGAGTTTTGTTCGAGATAGTGGCTTTTACACTCAGCAAGCCCCACCCGCGCTCTCTGATGTACAATTTTTGGGCATTGTAGTTGGGGTGGAAATTTCAGTGCATTGTAAGTTTCCTGATCTTTACATCAGTGACCTCCATATCTTTTTTTGCCCATTTTATAATACCAACTACATACCTGATGATTGGCAGAGTGTATATATTTATGGTATGGTGTGTTCGTCACTGAGCTGGCTCTTCAAGATTTATCTTGTCCTTTGGCGATATTTAGATCTTGCAGTCTTCCTTGCCTCCTCATCGATTACCATGTTATTGTGAGATGCTAAAGTATTTATAAGGTATTTGTAGCTATATCCGCTATTTGTTCTGATGGCTTGTCCATCCCGTTAGCCATTAATACTTTTACTCTCTTTATTACCATTCGATCACATTTTTCTGATTGCTGTAGATCCGAGTTAGATGGATGGGCGAATTGATGTCTCGCTTACTTTTTACAATGTCATCTATATAAAAAAGATTGCTGTTGCTGATGGTAGTCCGTCCCGCTATTCATTTTGTATCCATATTTATTTCTGGTTATTACCTGACTGAGTTTAGAACTGCAGAACAATAGGGGAGACAGTGCATTGCCCCGGTATGTGTCGTATTAGATAATTATTTATGCAAATTATTTCGAGTTAATTTCCACAGTCCCACTGATTTCTCAATGAACGTCTTAACCTTAAAGCCAGACAGATCCATGTGTGGGGCATTAAGTCGAGGCATAGGCTTTCTTATAGTCAATCCAAGCTAGATTGGTCTGCTGGGATTTTCAGTCTACAATTACTGTTTTGTCAAGAAGCAGCTGATGTTTGGAGCTTATGGTGTTGTTCACAATGCCTTTTTGAACTACATTCATATACTGGTTCATATGGTCATTAAGAACTTTTCTTTTGCATAAAGTTTGTTATTTTTTAAAAAACAATGAAGTTGTTTAATGCTTTGGCGAACGAATTTGCATTAAATACGAGCAGTAGATAGGTTATTAGTCGATAATTGGATAAAATTGTTCTCTTATGAGAGCCTTTCATGATCACTGCCGTCCTTCGTCCTTCCTTGTATTAAACCAGTCTGGGTGAGAGCCTGCCATAAGCAGCTTGCTTATCTGCTGGATCGTTAGGCGTTCATGAACCGACACGCTAGCTTCTTTAGCCAGTGAGTGTGAATCATGTCCGGATCAGGTGCTGTCCAAATTTTTATATTTTTGAGCCGCTGCTGGATGTCAATAACTGTGATGGTAACTGGTTCCTGCTCTGTTTTTCTGGGATATTGTTGTGACTTGTTTTCAAATCTCACAACCATTTTGCACTGGTGTTACGAATCTCTTGTTTCTCCCATATATTTTTCCATTTTTGCATAGTTTCTGCTGTTGGTGGTTCTGTTGTTAGCATATTATTGTATTGTTGTGGATAGAATGGTTTAATGGGTTGTTGCTCGATTCGGAGCGCCAATATTAAGGTTCTATTCCCAGCAGGAGTAAATCCGGGTAATGCTGGCGGCCCACCGGTATTTCTATCGCCAAGGGTTTCCCTGGCATATTGTCCAATGCGACCAGTGGAGTGAGTCTAACCAGTAATGGTAAGGACTCTTTAAAAGAAAAATTTTTCATTGTTCATTTTTTCAATTTTTCATTTTCATTGTTGAAAGTACACCTTGGACAGTTCCTTGGAGAATAGGGCTTCAATGTACCTCTTTAGCCTAGTGGACATTCTGGGTCCACATTGTAACACGGGATTGATGCGTCTATAACTGAGGTGAGCCACTAACTTTTTCTCAGTTAATATAGACATTGGTCTTATTTCCATCCATAATGACTTCATTTCATATAATCCCTTCGATCGGGTTTATTATTATAATAGCATTCCATCATTTCCAGATTATCTCCTCCATGTAAGGTTTGTTCCAGTAGCCTTTTTAGCACTGGATTGTCCTGGCCCCATAACAACTGGTGCTGTTGCAATAGCCCATTTGTCATCAGATAGCCCTGGTCCCTCAGCCTCTGACGCGGATCTTGTTAATTCAAGGGATATCCGAGTCTGCTTGACCCTAATATGCTACTTTTAAGGTAGGACAAGTATGTATTAAGGGAATCTTGGGCTCCACTGGAAAGATAGAGGCTTTGGCTGCAGTTCGAACCAAAACATTTTTATTCCATGTCGATCGCCCTCCTTTATGTGTATATATATATATATAATTTATATATGACATATATTTAATGAAATATATATAATTTTATAATCTTTAGACCTCGTCAACCATCTATTTCTGATGCTTTTTCGTTTTGGAACGACATTTATTCCTTAAGGATACATCAATTTAATATATATGAGAATAATCCTCTGCGTGAAGTGAATTATCTATTTATCTATCTTTAATCTTTTAGTAATGTGTGTGCTGATCGAATTTTTATATTTTTTTCTCTTTTATTAATGATTTTTCAAGTAACCTTTAAAAAACAAATATTAAAGTTATTAAAATTTTGAAAAATGATCTTCAGTATATTTTTAGTTTTTCCAATCCGCACCACTGGTGCAACAAAATTCTCTTCCTATGCACTCAATGGTGCAATCGAAACTGCATATCATAAAGGCTGCGCGAAAGAATAATTTATTTTCTACGGCTATAGAAGCTATAAATAGGTTTTTCAATTTTTTTCGAACTTAAAATTTTCGTAGATTTATAGAATTTCCAATATCCATTTTTTATTGAATTCATAAATAAATAAACTAGCATATTTTTTTAGCTCAGGGTTTTTCATATTTTGGTTTGATTTTTCGTTGATTATAGATTGCATACTATGCCATCGTTTCCACTGGCACTTTCTCATTTGGTTCTAAATGAACGCTTGAAATGTCATTTACAAGAAAGTTCAAATGCGAGTAATGGAGAATTAAGAGATTCTTCACTTCATAAGGCTCTGAATGATTTCGTTCGAATAAATTACAAGGTCCTAAACAGAGAACAGTATGTACGAATGATGGCGATTGGAGGAAGAATTCTTTCGAAAGTGAATTTGTATGTTACTTTCTTAGTTTTATATTGTTCAATACGCCATTTATTTCACTTCACCTTTATTTCTTAAATTAAAATCTTTCTTTAAATAAGGTTATCTTTCTTTAAGTCATTTAGCTTATTTATTGAACCCTGTTTTTCCCACAGGCAGTTCAGATTTTCTTTACGTAATTTTTTTTTTGAGAGTAAATTTTTATAGAGATGATGATGCCAATCGTATATTCAGAACGGCAGCCCAGTTAGACAATTTGAATTCGTTTGCCTCTTTATGGATGCACTGGAGCGATCATTTGGAAAAATTATTCCAAAAGAATATGTGATGATTTCATTTTTCATTATTTAGTTTATTAATATTCTCACTGCATTTTTTATATTATTTATTTAATTTTTTAGTGAAGATAATTCCCAAAATTTGGTAGATTCTTTGAACTGTATTGTCGAGGCTGCTAGATATTCAAATGAAGGAAAAGCGCGAAAGTTTATTATTCGAATTTTGTGGCGCTATAAGGTGGTGTTTTCATCTTTGAATTATTTTTCAAGCATTTTTTTTCTGTAGATTATAAATATTTTTAGTTAGCAAGTGCCTGCAATAGATCAGTAAGGGAACAAGCAGAGGAAATTATGAAATTGAGAGCAATAAAGATAAGTGCTTCTCGATGGCTCTGTTGGTTCGCATTATTTATTATTATCTTTTCAGTGAATGTGAAATTCCGTTTTTTTTATTTTGTTACTTATCGAAATCCATCGAGAAATTGCTACCTGCATATTTTTTCATATAAATCAATTAAAAAATTATTTATTGCATTCACGATTGAATTTTTCTATTATTTTGTTTTTGAGAAAAAATTTTATTCAAAAGGTTGCCGCAATTATTGAATGAACTAAAGAGACAGCCAACGAAAAGTATAGCAGAAATTATCGCTAAAATAGGCGAAAGTAATCCTCAGAAAGTGTTTTGTGCGATTTATTCTGCGATCTCTCCTAAAATTGTAAATGAGAAAATATTTTGTGGTAAGTTTCAGCGTTTTTTCAATAATATTTGATTTTATTACCTTCATTATTTATTTTCACTATTTATAATTTTTAGTGACAAATTTCATTGAACAAACAGAAAAGTCAAAAAGTGAAGAGGCGACCACATTTGAAGGATTGTTGCTTGAAATAGTTGGTCAGTTGTTAAAAGCTCATCCTCCTGATATTATTTATCTGAACCGATTGTTTAATGAACTGGGAAATTACCAAGAATTATGGATTGAACGAACCTTGCGTACTGCCATAGATTTGCGAAATACTTTGTTAAAGTATCGAAGCTTTTTATTTTTTAACTTTATTATTTTTTCATTTCCATTTAAATTTCATTTTTTTTTAATAATTCATATGATTTCATTATGAATTTTTAAATTCATTTTTAAATCTAAATTTTCATGTTATTTTCTATTTTTTTTACATGAGAGGCCAGATTTTTCCTGTTTTTTGATTGTTATTTGATTTTACAGGTTTGCTTCGGCGAATTCAAACTTGCTAACAATTCTTCAAATTCCTGATGAAATGAAAACTGTTGTGAATAATTGGCTAACACAAGTTTCTGAGGATTGTGTCATAGATCATATAAGCGATTTTCTAGACTTAAAGGTTATATTATCGTTTTTAATACTTTAACTATTATTTTATTCATATTGGCAAAAAATGATATTATAACTCGGATCACGGCAGCTAGAAATGCGTTCTTCCGGTTGACGAAAATAAAAATCCGCATCTATATTGCCGTGATCCATTCGATCTTATATGGTTCTGAGACATGGCCAATGAGAGTGGAGGTTATTAAGAAGTTATCTGCTTTTGACCACTCTTGTCTAAGGTATATTTTACGGGTTCGCCGAGTGGATAAAATCTCACAAGATCGCATCCACCTTCGTTCAAATATCACTTGCATAAATAATGTTATCACAGAGCGCCGCCTTCGCTGGTTAGGGCACATTCTCCACCACACGAGTTGACGCATATTTCATTATTTGCTAAACCGTATGACTGTTGGCGTCAAAAGCGAGGTGGGCCAATCAAGACCTGGACTGATACGGTTAGAAAAGATTTTGAACGTATAGGTGGATCAGCAATATATGGACTTAGACGATGGAAAAAGGAATGGCTTCCATTACTGACGACAATGGCATCAGACTGCGCCGCTTGGAAGCGTCTTACCCTTGTAGCCGTTTTAGCCAGCCTAACCAGTAATGGTGTGAGCTGAAAGGAGAAGAAGAAGAATATTTCATATTCAGTGTGATCTACAATAGCAGCCACTTTTTGCTAAATATATCTGTTAATTAGTTTTAATCTATCTTTCAGGCCATTAAGGAAAAAGCGCTAACATTATTCAGGGGACTGGATTTGTCACAATGTCACCTAATACAATTTGTCGGAATTTTAAATCGTTTTATAACGTTGATCAAAATTAAATTCAGCGGATCTGATTTTCCTCGAAGGTACTTTTTTTTTTGACTATATGAGCTATACTGAAATTATATGTTGATGAAAGGTGAGTTTTAGTGGAAGTTTATTTCAGAGGTTGCTGGTTACGCACACTGAGTCCCTTTCTGGCTACATTCACCAACAATTTGGCCAATATTGAAATATTCATTGATGTGCCACCAATTAAGGTTGGTTGAATTTTAAAAATTCTGCATATTATGAATATTTATTTACAATTTTCACAATGCTCTTAAATTATCGTATAGAATTTTTTCATATTCTTTTTCATTTAGGTATTTTTTTGTGCGAACTCGATATATCGGTTTTTATCGAAAATGCGATTTGTTTTACATGGGGGATTGATTTGTCGTCAGATAATGATTCGAGCTGTTAGTGGCAAAGTGAAATTTTTATTGGCACTTTAGTATTTTTATTCCTTCATTATTCGTTCATTAGTAGTTAGTAGTAAAATGGATTATGAATTTGAAGTTCAAGGATGCCACAAATTTTTTGTAGATACATTCTTATTTGATGCAGAAGTCGTACAAGCGTGATAATATACAACTGCATTCAATGTTTTCTATTTTCAATCATCTTCTTGCAACAGAATCGGTTTGCTTTTGGTTAAAATGTTGTTTGTTTAATGAATAATGATGAATCTCCATCTTTTCAGGTTAATTCTGTTAATTCTGCATATTTTTTTCAGATGACTAGTCGTCGTTTATTGAAATTTGAAGTCCCTCGTTTAATGCCTTTAGAAAACACTTTATTATCGGAATGCCCAGAGGACGCAAGTTCTATACCATCTTTATTGGAAATTCTCAATAATATTGTTTGTTCAGCTAAATTGAATAGTGCCGATATGATATTGTCACAGTTAGTTATTTTCATACTTTTTTCATTATTGGTATGTTGACTGGTGCTGAATTTAAAATTTGATTTTTTTTAAAGTTATTACGAGCGGTTAATGAATTTGGAAGGTATTGACATTCAGTCGCTTATCAACATAATGACGGAAATGAACAGTGTTGGGCTACTTCCGGCTGATTCTTTATCGAGATGGTTTAGTCTGCGCTATGTCGATGCTACGCATTACTACATGTTAAGAAAACAAGTATATTGATCATTATAATCTGCAGTTATTCCATTAGCTGTTTTTTAATTAATAAGATACAGGTTAGAGATCCATAGATTTTTAATTAATTCACCTTTGGTTTGACCTTACCTTCATAAATTTGTAGATGGTGCTGAGTTTCGCTCTTTACAACGCGGCTGAATATTTATTCTACTTAAAAGAAAGTTATCTTGATGCCTTTATACTCAATCTGAAGACAGGTCGCATTTATTCGCTTGGATTTGTTTTCGACACCACTTGTGCAGATAGTAAGTCGCTTCTATTTAATTCGATAAAATGATAATTGGTAATTAATAATTAATTGGCCTTTTTCCAGCCTTCGAATTTTTTTGTTTTTGAAAAAATAAACCTTTGATTTATACGCATGATTTATATATATATATATATATAATTTATATGTTCCTTTCCAGAGTTAATTGTTTTTATCTTGTTATTTTATTTTTATTGGATAATTCTTCAAATTCAAATAAATACTTTTCCAAATTGAAATATAACGGAAAATAAATTCTTAAGCGCATGTTTATATAACGCTTATTTGCAAATAAATCATTAAATGGTTAAGAGATTTTGAATGAGAAATTCTGAGAGATCAATATTTTATTTATTCATTTTTTATTTCGATTGCAACAAACATCATTTCACAAACGTTAAAATCGACAGATGAGCTGGTAAGTTTCCAGTAAAACTGGTTTCGACAAGACATTTTCACCCGAAGCAAATTGAATTTGCTCCACATTGTTGAGCACTGTCGAAACTCGTAAAATAAGAAATGATTTATGATATATTGATATCATAATTTATTTATTTGCATTTTAAATATTCACATCTTTAAATTTCCAGTGCAGCCTGGAAGTATTCTTCGTCCAGTGCCTTTTCGTTTGTCAACTAATATCAGTCATTTTTTCGGTCCTACAGTCGAAGGTTTCCATATTTTTCTGTGGTGACACCATTTTTATGCCTCTTGAAAATTTGTTTTTTCATTTATAATAAATAAATAAATATTTAGGCCATTTTATTTGGTCAGTGAATGCTGTCACACAATGTTTTAAGAAACGCGATGTTTTAATTTATGTTCGTCCATTTTTATGCGACGCAATTTTTGAAAATGCGAATGGTGACGGCGAACCTGAATATATTGCCAAAATTAAAAAAATTGGAGAAAGGATACTGTTAAGGCTGGACGGTACATTTTTTGTTTAGATTATTTTTAGATTAAATCCACCTTTTTCTTAGAAACTTTATTTTTTTTCTTAGAATCGTTAGAAGCAATTCAAAAATTGACTGAAGATGCTCAATCTACTGAAAATCTGGCAAGAATGGACCCCATTTGGCATCCATGGTTCTAATAATTTCACGAAGTGGTAGCATCCGATCGATTTCACCTTATTCAGTCAAATCAAGATTTTATTTTGTCGTGACATTATAAATTCTCAGGTTTCAGTCGTTTTTCTGTACAAAATGATTCATTATGCTACCAATATATCTAAAATATATTGGTATATCTGCTTTTAAATAAAACGATCTCCAAAATCTACTCGTGCATTTTAAGATTGAATTTAATATTGAGAGATTTTTTTATAAATAAAAATTTATGTAATAAGTTACTCCACTTTAAAAATTCTTATCATTATTATTGATAAAATAATTTGTTTGAAAGTTCATAAAATTTATTGTTAGGTGGTTGTGGTATTTGACAATTCATGTAAGCTGCTTTCTTTGACTATGTCACTTATTAAAAATGCAAGTTTTATTGTTTTATATAATCATAGGATATAAAAGTAAGTATAGAAACCAATTAATTGTCACATTTTTAGTGTTCACTTTTAGATAGCTTTTCATTTTACATTAAAAATGATCTTTATAGTAATTCGCGATTTGTATTTCTATCACGAAATTCAATTCTATGTTTGTATATATGTATACTCCGAAAAAGACATTCATTGCCACTGAAATCTTCCAAATCTTACCAAAATTTTACAGGATTTGTACGATTTTCTAGCTCTTAAATCCGGTTCTTCTAGTAGAATTTCCTTTACCCCTTACTTCCACCTTGTTAATTTTTTTTTCGATCGACAAACCATAAAAACTAACTAGAAGCTGAATGGTGGATTTTTTTCTGGAGAAATCACCCTAAAATCGAATTATTTGCTTCAAAGTGTACGGTCTGTTGCATATAAATCTGCTCGAAACCTGGCTGTTTATACATTTTACACTAGTCGGATAACAGGTTATTTGTCAAAAGCAGATATATAATTAAATGCGTTATTAGCCCATAAATAACAAAGAGGGAAGAAAAAAACAGTATTTTTCAAATCGATATTTAAGATTTTGCATTCGTCAATGGAAAGGGTTAGTTATCCTTAAATTATTTCATTGTTATATTTACGTCCTGCATCAGATATAAGCTGTTCATTCTTTCATGTAATTTTGCGACTCAGTGCTGTGATTTTAATACCATTAATCGAGAAGAAAGGACCAATGCAGCTATCTTTCTTTAGATATCTGATATTTGATATTTAGATATCTGACATTAACCACTTCTTGATAGCTTACTAGCGATCTTAATAGCGTTTGCTGCATCTTTTAGGTAGTTTCCCGTCCACTTTTTCTAATATCTCTAGCCATTACTGACTAGGCTGGCTACAAGGATGAAACGTTTCGAGCTATGTGATATGACAGTGATCTGACGTCGACAGTAATAGAAGCCATTTCTTTTTTATCGTCTAAATCCATATATTGCTGATCCTCCTATACATTTAAAATCTTTTCTGACCATGTCAGTCCAGGTCTTGATTGGCCTACCTCGCTTTTGACGCCACCCATCACAGAGTTCAGCAAGTAGCAAAATACGTGTTATCAACTATTGCAGTGGACGATGAAGGACGTGCCCTAATCAGCGAAGGAAAGGCGGTACTCTGTGATGGTAGTGCAGTATTATTGCATGTGGTATTTCAGCGAAGGTGGATGTAATCTGCGATTTTATCCTTTCGGCGAAACCGTAAAACATATTCTAGATATGATTGGCCAGAGGCAAGTAACTTCTGAATAACTTCTGAATATCTTCCACTTTCTCTCAAAAAAAAGATTTCAAAAAATGTTTTTGCCGAGCGGTCGTTTGTCAAAAAATATTCTCGATTTGTTTTTGTGAATTTATTTTTCATTTCTGATCAAAATTCAGCTAAGTCTTCTTAAACTTTAAATTTTTTGTATCAAACAACGATTAAAATAAAATAAATTAAAATTAAATCAATTAGATTATATAAATTATAAATCAAATCAATTTAATTGTACAAATAATATATACAAATAATAAATTGTACAAATAATATATAATATTATTTATACAATTTATTATATATACAAATTTTTTTTTTTGAGAATTAATTGCCTTTTTATTCTTTTATTTCTTTTTAAATTTCCTTGTCTATTTTATTATTTTTTTAAATTTAATTTTTTGTCTTTGGCAGGAGTAAAGAAACTTTTGACATAATGGTTTAAGCCATTATGTCAAAAATCCGAGTGACTCCTGGGGACCCTGTACCTCTATTCCCAAGTAACTCTGTGGTGAAGGGGTCGGATACGGCGTCCCCGTCATCCGACGCTCATAATATTCCCAGCTCGGTGGTACATGCGATAAGTGCACAATTCGAGCTTAAAACGATCCCAAGGCTGATAAATAGAATGTGCTCACAAGTCAGGGTAATTGCTTGAAACCTATCAAGGGGAATAGCTCTTTGCACACGTGGCGAGGTTTTATCAGCGTGGAACATCAGAACGCTTATGTATGTTGCAAGCCAAGCGATCACTATCCACACCCTTTCTAAACATCGTGTGGATATCGATTGCTTGTCAGAGGTCCATGTCCATCTTCCTTTCGCGCCTTGAGTAATTATTAATTCTGGCTATATTACTTCGGATAACTCGGGGCGAAATGGCGTAGCGACTGTCATGTCTAACAAGGTACATTCTGCTTTGATTGGTTGGCAACCGGTAAGACTGTATGGACTGTATGGCCTATTCCCGTTTTAAGGGTAAGTTCTGCGATATTTCGCAGTTATCATGCTCCAACTCTGTCTGCAGATGACGGTGGTGTGTTCTATGCGGAACTTCAAATGTTAACAAAGTCTCTACCAAAATATGACATGGTCATAGTCGAGGGATATTGGAATGCGCGCTTAGGTCATAATGCCGCTGCGATACAGTTGGCGAATATGGCATTGAAAACCGGTGCGCCAGTGAGAAACGCCTTCTTTATGCCGAAGGAATGTCTCCAAAATTCAGCCACTTCCACGCTAGGGCATACTAGTAGCTAGTTGTGTATTGGAAGCAATTGTCCAACTGTCTGAAAAAGCTGCCAAAGCACGAATGTCAGGTGATCCTGACTACCGGATGCTTGGAAGATTTGCAACGAAAGCAGCATGGTGGGACAGAAATTATTATTGGAGTGACATGGTCTCAAGAATGGAGGGAGCGGCTCGATTAATAGGAAACTATTTCGCCTTCTTCATAAAGCAACTTTAATTCGGGGAACGATCAATGAAATGGTAAGTGACAGCAATGACGTGCCAGTCAAGAGTATTAAGGACCGCCTCATAAGATTGAAAGAATTCTTTGAGGCCAAACTTAACCATGAAGCGGCATCTGCTGTCCCTGATATAACTGATATTTTCGCTGAACCATATGCTTGCAACTCGACAGAAGAAGATATCTATTATCCATAAGCTTAAGGCCAATAAGGCTCCGGGAGAAGATGGTCTTCGGGTTGAACTCTTTAAATATCGTCCTTCATAATACACCGTCAACAAATGTACTCTCTGGTATGGGAAAAAGAAATGTTACCAGATCATTGGAGTAAAGCAATTCTGCAAAATTTTTGCTTCCTTTTCACTCAACAGACTTATGGAAGTACGAAACAGCAGGATGCGCCATAATCAAGCTGGATTCAGGCTGGGGCGCGGTTGTACTAACCAGATATTCACTTTAAGAACGGTGTTGAAACATCGCTTCAAATATTTGTCACGTGTTTCATCGACTTTGCGACTGCCTTTGATTCAATTGATAGAGCGGCGCTTTGGAGAGTGATGGAATGTGATGGTGTTCCAGAGAAAATTATTAGACTCATAAAGGCATTTTATGAGCGCACGTCGGCGCAGATCCGTGTATATGGGGAGCTGACAGATTCCTTTGAAATAAGAACAGGTGTCCGTCAGAGTTGCGTCCTTTCCCCTACAATATTCAATTATGCTGATATACTGGGTAAAAAAAAATACTTGGAAAAAATGCCTCTTTTTGTAAATTCATTGCCGGTCCAGGAAGTGCCCGATTTTAAATACCTTGGGTCCACTCTAATACCAGATGGCCAGGCAAAAGACGATATTATAGCCCGAATCATGGCAGCTAGAAATGCGTTCTTCCGGTTGACGAAGCCTTTATGGAGCCGTCATGAAATTACCATTAAAACAAAAGTCCGCATCTATATAGCCATGATTCGTTCGATCTTGCTATATGGTTCCGAGACATGGCCAATGAGAGTGGAGGATATTAAGAAGCTATCTACCTTTGACCAGTTTTATTCTGAGGTATATTTTACGGGTCCGTCGAGCGAATAAAATATCACATGATCGCATCCATCTTCGTTCAAACATCACCTATATTAACAATGTTATCGCATCGCCTTCGCTGGTTAGGTTCTCTTTCGTCCCGCATAGGAGTTGACGCATATTTCGTTGCTTAATAAACTATATGATGGACGGCATCAAAAGCGAGATGGATCAATCAAGACCTGGACTGACATGGACGGTCAGGAAAGGTTTTGAACGAAGACCAGCAATATATGGACTGAGCAATATATAGACAATGGAAAAAAGGAATGGCTTCTATTATTGTCGACGATGGCATCAGACCGCACAGTTTGGAAGCGTCTTACTCTTGTGGCCATTGGAGTCAGCCTAACCAGTAATAATGAGGGCTGTTAAAAGAAGAAGAAGAAGGCTCTCATTGGCCATGCTTCGCAGCTATATAGGAAGATCGAAATCGCTATGCCGTGATCCGAGTTGTAATATCGTCTTTTGCCTGACCATTTAGTAATGTGCCACGGTATTTAAAATCGGGCATTTCCTCAACCGGCAATAAATTTACAAAAAAAGGCATTTTATCTGCTTCTTGCTCATGAGACGAAAAGACTTTTGTTTTGTGTATATTGACTCTGAGTCCGATTCTTGCTGCAGTTGCTGACACGTTATTTAAGTAACAATGCAAAGAGAAATAATATGAATAAAAGGGAATTTATAATAAAATAAATCAAAGCGAATATACTGACATAATCGCATGCTAAAAGACTAAGATTTCAAATTTTCTTCATAATATAAAGCTTTTAAATGGTAACATGAATGACTTACTTCATTTTTTTTGTTTTATTTTAAATAGCTAGGACAATGCATATTGTTCGGCAACTTATTCCAGTAATTAATGGTACAATTGAAATAATTACGAATTCCTAATGTAGTTTTGCATAGACCTTTTAACAATTTTAGCCCATTAAACCTTGTTGAATTAAAATTTAACCTAAAATAATCTAAAATAATAATATTTGGAATAATCTAATTTGATATAACTATATTTTAGACGAATTGAGGTAGAATCAGATTATATAATTGAAATTGTGTTTTATAATAAAGACTCAATGTACAAATATTTCTTGATTTCTTTTACTTAATTTACTCGATTTGCGGTATCTATGGGATTAATAAATAGGTTGCACTATGAACAAGAAGAGGAACGAACACTTTGCATTTATTAAGAAATTTCCAGTTTTATTTTTGAATGACCGAAGAGTAGAATTTAATATTAATATTTAATATTAATGAAAATTTTAGTGCTATGGCTCTCAATGAATCAAAATTTTCACCCACAATTCTGCTAAGATCTTTTCTATGCTAAGAGATATTCGACACATGTCCGATTATCTTATATTATTAAAGAAATTAGGGAAATCAGATTCTTTCGAATTTATATATAATGCGCTACGCCTCCAAATGGAAAGAGTAATTTATCTTTCACAAGCAGTTGGAATTCTATGGATGTTGTCTTGTAGCACAGACAGATTATCCAACCCACCATAAAGAATAATAAATTTTACAATCATTAACATAAAGATAAATGGCATAGTATAGGATTTAGTACAGCTTTGGTGATGTCATTAATATATGATAAAAAAAGAAATGGTGCAATACAATTATCTTGAGGGATCCTTGATTTGACTGGAGCCAAATCTGAAGAATTATTGGTACGTATAGCTGGTATCGATCTTTTAAATAATCTTATATCCAATTACAGAAGTTGCCTGTAATGCCACAGGAACCAAAAACTTACTCGGTATCAAATGCTTTTGGCCAAATAATTATTTTCCCATTATCTGCTGATGCTGATCAATTAGAAAGATTTACTAATATTTGTAAGTGAATTTTTTTCAGCCATGCTAATATAGGATGATAATAAATTGTTGGCATTAAAATAGTTATAACGAAAAAAGAACTCTTTCTCACTGATTATCTTTTTTGTTAGAATACTAAATTCGCTAACCAATTCTCAACCCACTAATCACTGGTTCAACAAAATCTAATCAAATTATACCCAAAAAGAAAAAGAATCCAACACAAAATTGCGACCACTACCACGCTTTGAGTAATTCCACAATCGATTCTACTTATTTTTTAGTACAACAGCTAAGCAACTTTTTGCAAATCAATTTCTCTAGTACTCTGATATCGACGTATGTTAAGCTAATAAGAGTATAATTGGAAGAATCATAGGTTTCTTTTTTAATTAATGGGAATTATCTAATTAATTAATTATGGTAACGACCAATGAAATGGTAAAAGATGGCAATGGTGCATTTATTAAAAATATTAAAGATCGCCTCATAAGATAATAAAGAATTCTTTGAGGGCAAACTTAACCATGATACACCATCTTTTTACCCCGAAATAGCTGATACATTCGTGAACCAGTTTACAATTGCGAACCACCAACAGAAGAAAAATTAATCTCCATTATCCGCAAGCTTAAGGATAAGACTCCGGGAGAAGATAGTCTCGAGGCTGAATTTTTCAAATATTGTCCATCGTCCTTCACAACGTACCTTCAATGAATGTCCCTCCTGCTATGGAATAAAGAAATATTACCAGATGACTAGAGCAAAGCATTTCTATTTCCTATTCTCAAGAAAGATGATAGGACAGTTATCGACGAGGAATCAGCCTACTAGACGTCTCACTGATTTTGCTTTTTGTTTCTCTTTTATTCAATGAACTTATGATAGTACGCGACAGCAGGATGCATCTTAATCAAGCTGGATTCAGGCCGGGGCGCAATTATGCTAACCAGATATTTCAGTTAAGAATGGTATTGAAAAGGATGTCGCGTCAAATATCAGCAACCCACCGTTACATATTTCATTGACTTTGTTGCCTTCGATTCACAATATTCAACTATGTGATAGACTGGATAAGGGACATTGTTTGTCTGCATTCAAGAGATGCACAAATCAATCCGGAGTAAAACATCAAATCTTGAATGTGCCGATGATGCAGCCATTTTTGCTGAAAGTTATGACGAAATGTAAGCAGTGTTAAACAATGTATGGAAATTTCTTAAGCACTCTTTGCATGGAGAAAAGCGCTGTGGCAAAAAATATTTCGATTTTTTAATTTTTTATATAGTTATTCTTTACGCCTTTTCCTTAAAGGAATGCATCGCTCTATGAAATATAAAATCCTAATTCATTTCTCCAAGCAAAAAATTAATGATCAAATGGTACAACTACGTAGTTGCAATTACGATAATCCATAGTTACAACTGTGGTAATTTCTAGTAAACTGAGGAGGAGAAATATAACGATTTAGTTTCACTGATACTTGAATGATACTGGGATCGCTATTACAAAAATCTAAAATATCTGTCGTGAAAGTTGTTTCATTATTGTTGTTATTGTGATAAGTTGGACGGAAAAGTTTTATTCACCGCAGAATTATAGCAACAATATAATACAAAAGTATAATAATTGGGTCAAGGAGACGAATAGAATATTAAATTAAAAAGAGGAAATGTCTCGTTTTTTTCCCGTTTGCAAAGAGAAAGGAGAGAAATTGTTTGAAGCACCCTCCGAACGGATTCTAGGAGCTTATGTATTGCCCATACGTGGGTTGGGCTTACAGTACCATGCAGAGTACAATTATAAAATTAGTTTTTATACAAGAGAAAATTATATAAAAATTATTTTTTCAAGAATACATCTAAGATTAAGATTTATAAATAAGGTAGTTTTCTTTATAAATTAGCTAACAGATGTGAATTTTTATAGAAAGGAAAAAAATTTTACATGATTTGAATATTAAGTAGCTGACTCATTATTGTGAAGAGTCCTTTCACGAACAGTTTTTTTTTTTTATAAATTCTTTCAGTTTTTCCCGACAATAACGATGAAACTATCATCGAAAGAAGTAAAAAAGGTAACCAGTATAACATCTAATATATGTCAGGCCTGGCGGCGATTTTGAAATTGTAGCTCTAAACTTATATAGGTAAAAGTTTAAGTTTAAATTTAAAAAAAATTTAGAATCACACTGATTTCAAGATGCTAAAATAATAATACATTAGGATTTGAAGGGACAGGGACGTTAAATGAACACAAAGGATTTTAAGGAAATATCGATTTGTCGCAAAAACCCTATTAATAAATAATAAATGAACAAACTTAATTAATATACTATTCTTCGTTACTCTTGAGTGATTATGTCAACAAGAAACCTTAATCGTACTCGGTTTCGTCGAAAAGCTATTTCACTATTTCACATTGATTAAATTTGAAACAAACATAACTGAAACTTAAAATAGTACAGTTTTTGACTTCGATGACTTGAATTTATTGAGAACACTTTTTGGGTGGTTATAATCGGAAATATCTTCATCACCGCCGGTCATTGCGCCACCAATGGTAGCTATAGATTCTATAAGAAATTTTATGATACCTTGTTCTCAACTAACCGAAAATAGATTAAACCGTTTCAGAAAAATTTAACCGAGAAAAGATTCCCATATCTTCCCAGGTTTACATGACAATTTCAGTCAATATCAATATAATTCTAAATTATTATTCTTTAAGTTCGAACTATAATGAAAATCTTATGACATTCTCAATCTCTTCTATCTCAAAAAAATACTACCTAAATCATATAAACCGTTAAAAACAAACCGAATATCAGTGAATTTTTTCTCGGCTTTAGTTCAGGACAATCACGTTTTAAATGTTTCTGTGAACCGCACAGATTGCAAGAACCACCTGAAATATTGCAAGTAAGACTTCAAAGAAATAAAGTTTTTTTCTGTCAAAAATACTGGTTTATTTTTTCACTAAAAAGAAGTGTCAGCCTCATCCATTCTCTACGATAACAATTCCCTATTCTCTATTTTAAAAAATTAAAAAGTGCAGAACCGTCAGGATAGATTCCATTGGGATTAAATTCGCAATCTCTCGACAAATGTCCTGTTTGTTTACAGATGAAGCAAGTAGCATAAGGAAAACCTATAATATATTTTTAAAAGAACACAAAATAACTATGAATCATTCCGCACATTTCACTTTTCTGATAAAATAAGTTTTTGCATTAATCCAAGATATGAATAAACAAAAAATTTAAAAACAATAAAATTGAAATTTTGCAAATAAATTCGACAAAAAAGAATAGCAAGAAATTGGAAAAATATTACCTCGAATATCTTTCCGCTTACAATGAACTGAAGTATGTTCAGCAGATCCGCATTTGAAACAAACTCCCGTACCCACCGTACTTTTGCATTTTTCAGGACACTCTATCAATTTATGGCCATTTTGTCGGCAATAAAAACAAGACTAAAAAATTAAACATAATGACCGGAAATAAAAGCTGCTTCAAAATTTTTTCTATTAAATAATCAAAAAATGCAATTTTAAAACATTAATAAATATGAAATTCATATTTTAAAATATAAAGATAAATAATTGCTTTAATTTGTTTTTCCATTTGTCGATGAACACGACGATTTTCTCGTTTTTTCCACTTCTTTATAATTTTTGCAGCATCATTATATGATAAATGACCTTTATCTACATATCCATTTAACATCTTTTTAACATCATCAAAAGTTGCCATAGATTTTTCCAACGATTCCGAAATTTCATCCACTTTATGCTCTCGCTTAAAAAACTGCCAGAATATGCGATTTTTAAAATATATATTAAATTAATAGCTCTTGATTTCCTTTTCTTTCTGAGCATAGAGATTTTCCCGTTCAAAAGATTTAAAAAAACCATTTTTTTCCTTGAAAGAATTAGAAATTGGACCAATTAAGTAACAGTTGAAACTAGATAACCTTTGAAATATGTATAATATGTCTATGATGCTTTCGCCATCGTCGAATTAATTCACCACACTGACTGCCACCAATTTCTCCATTTTTTGATAATTTTCGAATATAGTTCTTGACTTCCACTAATAATCCATAACGATTTAATTTTTTGAAAATATCATCCAATTTCTATTAAAAAAAATAAAATAAAATAAATAAAGAAATGAAATACCCAAGGAGAAACATAAAAAACAATATTTTAGTTTAGCAAAAGTGAAAAATAAAAAAATTATTAACAAACAAAAATAATACAAATACTTCGTTACTTATTTCGCAATTAGCACCAGTTGGAATAAATTTTTTTTTCTTCGTAATTTTTCCATTCTTTTGTCCTATTTCATATTTCCCATACCTCTTTCGACTTTCCTGCTGAAAAATTTTCTTTTTTCTTATAGAAAAGTAGATATAAAAACTCGTAAAAGTGTGAAAATTAATAAAACAAAAAATAAAAGCTGCTACCTTCTCGGATTTATTTTTTACAAGATAAGAATCATATAATGGCCATAATTCTTCAGATCGATTAACATCAATTTGCCCCAATTTATCGATGGATGAAGAATCGTAAATATCTCTTTTATTTAATTCAGTATTTTTTGATAAATTTCTTGACAATTCTGACCATGGTGTAGAATTCATACCTCGAAACTTTTGAAATCGTTTTGTTGCATTAATACGAGTCATGAGATTGTATTTTCGATGTTCAACAACTGTCAGTAAGTAATGTCCTGAAATTTTTTTCCAAATTCAATCATTTAATAGTCATCCCCCAACTGTGGATAAGAATTCGAATTCCTCTTTTTTAACAAGAAAAACTTGCCATCAAAAACCGAACTAAGTGAAAATCTATCTATATTCCACTCCCCAAGTAAATCATAGTCAGTGAAACCGATCAAACCAGAAACGGTGGACAGAAGAACAAAGAAACCAATAAACGATCGTGAAAAAAAGGATTTCTTTTTTTAATAACTCATATCACTCATTCCACTGGCAATTAAACTAAGATATTTTCAGACCTTCTGATTTTATGGCATGCTCGAAAGTAACTAAGCGATCATATACATTACATGGACACGTGTGTTCAAAATCTCCTCTAATTATCGATCCAGATCTCTATTGGTCCTCACTTTTGATGCCATCTGTCATATCATAGGGATTAGCAATTAAAGTAAATATAGCGCCAATTTTTAGGCGACGAGGAATATGGTCTAACCAGCGCAGGGAACACAAGATAAGATTCTTAATGCAGATGATGCACGCAGGCATATGAGATTCAGTTTACTTGCTGAGTACGAATGATGTACATTAGATAAGAATATTCAAAGGGTAAATAGCTCCCTGACATCTTCCACTACCATTGGCCAAGTTTCGCGGTCGTATAGTAGAACTGTAGGTGACATAGCCTGATAGGTATGAACTTTTGTTCTGCTAATTTCGCAATGACTTCACAGAAGTTTCGCAAGACAAAAGAGGATAATTCCTGCTGCAGCTATATGAGTTGGAATATCATTTTTCGCCTATCTAATAAGTGTGACAGTGGACTCGAGATATTTAAATTTTGATACTTCTTGAAATGTGGATAAATAGTACGATCTGCTAAATAAAAAAAAGAAGTTTCATCTTATTTGCATTAATATGAAGATCAATTCGCTGTTGCTGTCGATAGCCAATCTTAATGTTTATTTCAGTAACTATTAGCGAAAAGTGCAACATCAGCGTAATCAATGTTAGCGATACTATGCTCTGGACTAATTTATATGCTTCTTGAGTGCAAGAAATGTGCATAACCCAACATGTCGGAAAATTGAAAATTAAATTAGGGAGGATAGAATCATTATGCACATCGGTTCATATTCATTTTCAGAAGGTTTTGCCGATGCCGTATACACACATCTGAAGTATATGGATAAATTGCTTTAACAAACCCTGATTAATAACATTTTTTGGAAGTTCATTGCCAGACCTGCCAAATTGCTCCATTGATCGCATCAAAAGCAGTGGCAAAATCGATGATATAATGACTGTCGATTGTGGAAATGATGTTCCAATACCCTTCTCAGCGCCAAAATCTCCTCAGGACAATCACATCTAAATTCGACTTGGTTAGGAGCATGTCCTGCTTTTGCGCATTACCATGACTCTATTTAGCAGAAAAGAAGCGAAAACCATCAGAAAACCATCTAGCAAACTGATTCTTCGCAATGCAATCTATCATCTTTCTTGGGAATCGGCAGCAGAATCGTCTTATTCCAGTCACATGGTATTTGCTCCTACAATGAATGTATTTTTGCGGGTGCGCTGTAAATGATGCTAAGCAACGTTCAATTCGTACATGGTCTTCAGGAATTTCACTGCTGCTTGTGAATTCTTCTTCTTCTAACAGCTCTCACCATTACTCATTAGGCTGGCTATAACGGCCACAAGGATGAGACGCTTCCAAACTGTGCAGTCTGATGCCATGTCGACAATAATAGAAACCATTTCTTTTTCCATCGTCTAAGTCCATATATTGCTGGTCCATCTATACGTTCAAAATCTTTCCTGACCGTATCAATCCAGGTCTTGATTGCCCTCGCTTTTGACACCATCCATCACACGGTTTAGCAAGCAACGAAATATGCGACAACTCTTGTGGTGGACGACGAAGAATGTGCACTAACCACCGAAAGCGACGCTATGTGATAACATTATTAATGCAAGTGGACGCAAGTATTTGAACGAAGATAGATGCGATCATGTGATATTTTATCCGCTCAACGGACTCGTAAAATGTGACTTTGACAAGAGTAGTCAAAAGTAGATGGCTTATCCTCCGCTCTCACTGGCCATGTCTCAGAGCCATATAGCAAGATCGAACGAATCACGGCTATATAGATGCGGATTTTTGTTTTAATGGTAATTTGACAACGACTCCATAAAGATTTCGTCAACCGGAAGAACGCATTTCTAGCTGCCGTGATCCGGCTATAATATCGTCTTTTGCTTGACCATTTGGTGTTAGAGTGGACTCAAAGTGTTTAAAATCGGGCACTTCCTCGATCGGTTGGCATAATGAATTATAGAGCCATGTTAGACAACCACAGATATTGGGACACTCATGCGGCATATGCACACATTTCAGTCTACCGCGATCATATGCGATTTTTTGGAAAAGTTCTAGGCATAAAATCTATTTTTATCTTTATCATAAGTGCATAACTAACAGCATAAATAATGATGATCTACACATAGGCAGATCTAGCCTTTAAAGTTGCTAACCAGCCATTCCACACGATTAGAGCTGCGACTTTTTGGACATATGATCGCTAGTCCATTCATGAGTTATTCGAAACACCATTACGATACAGCCAGTAATTCTAATCTAATACGGGTTTAATCACTGCAATGAACTATTCTATCTGGAAGCCTGGCAGGAAAGTGGTATCCAGAAGATATTAAGATTAGATGTGGACGGTCGCCCGACTCCTTTTACGTGTATGAGCGTTTTAACATTTCACCCACCATGATCTCGACTTGTGCACCCACAGCCGACTGACATTCGCCGGACTTTCTTAAGTGGTTGGAGGAATTCCCCCGGCTCGAGATCTTAGTACTGTTACTATAATGGCCGAGCTTGATGCGCATGTCCATTTACCGCATGTCCATTCGCCATAACCACTTGGGGCACAGTTGGGTCCTCAGCAGCCCGGACTAGTTCTGATGACAAATCTTCTCCCGTTTAGACGAGCAAGGACACTTTCGCAATTCTGACAATCACGAAGCTGAAAGAAGCTAAGAGAAAAGAAATTTTTTTCGAAATCCTAAAACTTACTTATCACCATTTTATATATTCAAGAAACTTGGTCCCCAATTCCAAGAATATGCCAAAAACATCAGAACGAATCAAGCAACACTAATCTCTGATGGAGAAATGAATGAAATAACAAAGCAAAGCGACCAGTCACCATCCAAAGTCACTTTGCTTACCAAAAACTCTCCCCGAGTAAAACCGACTGTAAAATCGACAAACAAAGGAGAAACGATAGATCAGCGAAGAAAATCAAACAACCCACAACCCTCTCTTCCGCCCAACCTGACACTGGTTGCAAAATAGTTCTCTCTTTTCTTAAAAATCGTACGTTTCAACTTCGTACAATTTGAAAATGTCTGCGCTGCTTTTAAATCACATTTCGGTTCATCACTAATTCGCAGCGGAGATTTTTTGTGACGAGTTTGCAATGTTTTCGGTACTTTTGGTACTCATCTGATCCGATCTTTATGACTATTTTGTGATTAGTTATTGGTGTGCGTACACAACCGCAATAGAAGACTTCATCGCTCGGGTCCAGTGTTTGTATTTAAGTGGAAATAAGCAGCCGGTTCATTCATACTTCTTTTGCGCGAAAAGAGAGTGAGCAAGGCGAGTGATGAATAGAATAGCCAGATGCAGAATAAATGAAAGTAGGTGATCAAGCAGCGTGCAGCCTGTAAATCGTCCATTCGGCAGAGGTGCTTTACTGCGGGGTATTTACAGATCTTTTTAAGGTGACTTCTAATCGGACATGTCGGCTAAGTCGCTGCCCAAAATAAGGGCCACTATTGGACATATACCGCAGAGACTGAAAATGCCTTTGTTGCCAAATCCGAGAGGACGTCTCGAAGTATTATTTCACACTGTTAATTCCATTTCAATGTTTATATAAATATTAAGTTATAAATCCACTTTTCAAAATATTTTTTATGAATTTTCATTTTTGTTTCCAAATCTTATTTCAAGATTTACCATTCTCAGTAGTCATTGGATTTTTTAGATTCTGCGAAGAATGGTAACTCGTTTAATTCGCGAGGAACGTTGCGAATTTAGCCATAATCGAGCTGTTGAAGTTCGACCTTATTTTGAGAGAGTAATTTAATTTTTCGTTTTTTTATATTTTACTCGAAATTAGCCCCGTTATATTATATTTTTAGTTGATACACCTGGGAATTTATCGTGGTTTCGATGATATATACACAAAAGAAATGATGGAGTGGTGGATTACTGAGGGTGATTTAAAGGAGAAAATGTCTGATGTTATTGTGCCTCGGTTAAGGGAACTTGATTGTTGGTCTTTTACATAATAATCTTTATCATTTTATCTAAGCTTTCATTATCACTTCATTATTTATTTTTTGGTTTATTATTTGTCGTATCATATGTTATAAAATTTTGGAATAATCTATCACCTTTTTCAGCACCTTATACTTTATTATATCGCCTTCCTTCATTAAGTCTTCAATCAAGAATATTTAAACGGAACAGTTATTATCGTTACTACGACATAGGCGTTCTCGAAATTAAAGGTAAATTTCTTAAGGAAAAAAGCGGTTTAAAATTCCTTTAACAAACCATTTTTTAGGTAATCCATTTCCTCCAGTAATTTTGGAACGAGAAGATTATTCGGGTAGTCTACTTAATATTCTCCTGAAGAATGCTTTAAAAAAACGCTTGGACGAATTGAAGGAAATAAGTACTCCTCATTAACAAATTTATCTAAACTTATCTAGAGTGTCAATATGCAGTAAATTGTTTATTACAAAACTTTAAAACTATATAAAACTTTTTAAATTTATTCAAAGGAAAATAGCTAGATCTTAGTTAACAAAGAGATTGAAATATAGCTAAATAAATAGATATACATATATAAAGCTTAGAAACATATACATACAATAGATTTGTAAGAAATAGTATTGAGATCGATATGGTCCAGTATTGTTTTTACTGACCCACTAAGATTTGCCGTGAGTAAACTTGCAATCTAAATTCAGTTGTTAATGACCCATTACTGTACTATCATCAGACAGTTCTCTGGTGAAAGAATTATTTTAATAGAAAAAAAAAGCTGGTGAGGAAATAACTGAGGAAAGCAGCAAAAGTATTGAACAAATATTCTAAATCAAAAACTCTCAACATTAGAGGCTTAAAAAAAAGGGAGGCGAATGCATCTCAGAATCGTTCAACAAATAAAAAAGACCATCTCAAATTAGGTATCAGTTCAATGAATTAGATTATTTTTACTTGACTAAAAAATTTTACAAATATTATACATAAATATATGCATATTTACGTCCTACGTCCTTCATATTCTCATTCTCATTAATCATTTTCTGCGTGAGGAAACCATCTGTTAAAGTTCGATTCTTTTACGTGATTTTGCTGTAGAATTTTTCGTTTTAATTTGTAGCAACATTCTAGAAGATGTTGATGAAAATCTCTAATTGAAGGGAACGCTGAAGATTTCACAAAACAGAGTTTACAAGTCATCGCTAATGAAGTTGATGCAGTAAATTTACTTATTCGTCGGCCATATTCATGCTCGGCTGGCATATTACCATCACTTCTAGCCTGAAGCAAAATTCTTTTTCCATAAATTATTAAAACCATTTAAACCATTTACATTTAAAATTTTAAAACCATAATACTATGGTCTGTGGCAAAAATAGCTTAAAATAATTACTTCAATGAAAACGGGAGTTGAACGAGGAAATTCACTGCATGGAGACCCATTTTTAAAATGTTCTTCATACTTATCTTCGCCATAATAAAGAATTTTACAGTCGCGGCAATACACCGTCGTGGTAAATCGATCTACGGTATCGGGATAAGGTCTTTTCACTGATAATGATTGTAAGAAGGCGAGATGTGTTGGAATGAAAGTTGGCGGCTCTACATAACTCACACTTGCCTCATCGTTTCCTTTTTTTTCCTCTCCATCACTGAAGAAATTCGTGAAGACAAAAAATAAAGAAAAAATGGTTAAAATCATTTTACAATGAAAAAAAATGGACAAATCAACAAAGGAATAAATAAAAAGCAATCAAACACACTTTAGAACAGGAATTTCATAATACTGTGGTGCGCAAGACTCTGCATCAAGAATATTGGTTTCTGGCAATTTATAATTCTGTGGATTAGGCACACGTTCAAGGAAAGCCAAAGCATCCTTGCATTTGCTTCGAAAACCCATTTGAAATGGTTCTTCATCCGAAAATGTTCTATTGGACCATATCAGTTTTTTTCCGACTGGAAGAATTTAGATAACAAATTTATTCGATCTTAAAGGATCATATAAAAAAAACGTAAAAAAGTGTACATTGAATGCACTTGTATATTATCACGCTTGTACGACTTTTTTCTTTTCAACCATTAGAAGAAATTTCTTACCAGTTTGATATTCAAGCATAGCTTTTTTATGACAGTTATGTGAATCGAGATTTTTATAATCGTAACTAGCAAATCCACATTTGTTACAACTAAATGGTGGAAGTCTAGGTAGCAAACCATAATTTAACGTAATCGTCGCACGACGAATTTTGCGAATAGCATTCGGCCATTTTTTTGTACATCTTTTAGGATTTATTAAGCTAAAATATTTTAATAGTTTTAAAAACAAATAATTAAGAAAGCAAAAAGCAAATTTTACGAAATATAAATAATTAATGATTGAAAAATCTAAACAACTGATATATATATTTTTTTACATAGAGCATGGAAATACATCAGCATGGATTTAGCCCATTTAACTTAATGCACAATTTATGGTTTACTGATGATTTGAAAACATAGTAATGGTGAATATATCTTTAACTTTAAAGTGACTAATAATAAGATTTTTGTGCTTGAGACGATAAAGAAATAAAATAATGTACTAAGAAAAAATCTTTCACTTAATAATAGAACCTATAAAAATTAGAATTTATCTCTGATAATGAACTCATATTGTTGATCATTATCCAAATAATTGTTCAAGTATGATAATATATATATAATAATTGTTATTGATAATATATATGATAATATAATAATTGTCCAAGTATGATTATATATATATATATAACATAACAAATGTTGTCGATCAGTGTAATAAATGAAAATAACGAACGAAAATGAAGAAACCTGTGAAATAGACGACGATATGCCGGATGATGAATGTATTGCATAGCTGTCGAAGGGATTTTCCATTTCTTCATGCGAATTTTTCTCGTTTTCATTGTAATTTTCACAATTCTTCACGAAATTATTGAATGTCGAGGTGGCCGACGTGCTGGTAAAGGCAAAGGCAAAAGTAACCTGCAATTTGCACAGGTTGCTGAATTTTCACTTATTCAAACACCACCAGCTGATAATCGAGTAATTCTTATTTCCTATTTAAATTTTTTCAATTTTAATTACTAGCGGGACTAATGAAATAATATCTAAGATCAAACATCAAATTAAACATCAAATTAAATGAAGCTGGTGTCATAAAAATGATTCTCTGGCAAGAAATCGCATCCTAATTGTCAACAGAACTGGAAATGGTACCAGTTACCCTCTTATATTAATGATTTATAGCTGATGTAAGAATTTAACTAAAACAACTTTCAGAGTGCATATATAATTACTGGCTCTCATTTTAGTCAATCATTTCGACTTGGTTATAAACTTGTATTAATTTGTAAAGCGAAAGGTTCACCAAGACCAACTATTAAATGGTATAAAGAAGGAACAGAAATGCATCCAAAGTCAAGTGCTCATGTCTGTTTATTTCATTCCTAAAAAAATTCTTAATTCAGCTAACTTTATTGAATTACATTTCCAAGAATGATCAGAAAGAACCATGCAACAGAACAGTGCTCAGGTACTCATTTTTCAGTACTATGAAAAGCCAATCGGTGAATTTACAATGTGGAGTAAATTGGAAATTGACCCTGCAACAATGGGCGATCAAGGAATATATGCGTGTGTTGCAAATAATGAATTTGGTGTTATGGCGAAAAATTTCAAAGCCGAATTCACCTATTAAATATTTAATCCCAAAACAAAGTGCTCGCGTAAAAATAAATTCGAACGACTCGGAAGTATATCAAGGGAAATATAAAGGATGCGATATTTTTTCATATTCAGTTGATACTATATATTATTGAAAAATGAAAATAAATGAATAAGTATATTAATGCTGACGCAACTAAATCGTCACAAGAAACTCATTGAATGAAATAAAATCGTTAATAAAAATAGAAAAGGAGTGGTACTACGTACTAATCTATTTTATATCCGCAGAATACCTCTCTCAGATCTCATCTCATACAAATACCAACCAAATTAGAAATTGCTAAATGCTGTCGAAAAAGAACTAGTAAAAACGAATAAACTATTAAATACAATACTAGCGGAAAAAAAGTAATAGGAATGTTCAGAAGGACCAACAGAATCTTAGATAGAATTCTTTCTTTAGCCACTTAGATAGCTAAACGAATGATGATTAAAAAACTGATTAAGCCAATAGATTCAACCACCACTTTATCTAAATTTTTATAAAAAAGAAAATATTTATCCAAGAAATTATAGATCTCTCAAATAGCAATAAAATACAGGAAAGATTAGCATATTATAAGCCTACCTTGCAGTGGGCAGTCTAATATCCATTTATCGAAATTGGTTACTACATAAGAAAATCAACTTAAGAAATGCTCCTAGAATATCTTGATTTTATGATGAAAGGGCCAGGTCTTTTTGACACAATATCCTCCAATGCGCAGGATACTTCTGATCCGGTTGAACATGCGATAAATATCAGGGAGTAATGATAAGATGATTCCAAGGACCAAACATAGAATTTGTTCGCGAACCGAGATAATTACTCAAAATCCATCAAGCGAGGCGAGAACTTATCCGCTAACACTTTGCAAGCTCGGCAAGATGCTGGATACTTAGAACGACAGAACGTTTATGGATGCTGCAAGCCAAGACATTACTGTCTCGGCTCTCGAGTAATTATTAAACCTGGTTTCGGGGATAGATATTGGCTAAATCACAGTGGTGTCTCGGATAACTCGAGGCGATATGGCGTAGCGATTGTCAAAAGGCTCAATCTATTCTAACTGAATGGAAGCCAGTAAATGAATGTATGGCCTGCGCGCATTTCAAAGGAAAGTTTTGCAATATTTCGGTCATCAGCATAATGCTTCAACTTTATGCGTAGATGACCGCGATAAGTTCTAGGCAGAGCTTCAACTGTTAATAACATCTCTATCGAAAGGTGACATGGTCACAATCCAAGGAGACTGGAATGCGCATCACAATAGCGTTAAGATGAATTCCATAATTGGACAAATATGGCATCAAGGTCCAGTGCGCCAACGCAGAACGCCTTCTTTGTTTTGCGGAGTGGGTTGTTGCTCAATTCGGAGAGCCAATGCTGAGGTTCTATTCCCCACAGGAATAAACCTGTCCAAAAATCCGGGTGATATTGGCGACTCACTTGTACTTCTATTGCCAAGGGACTTCCTGACATATTTATCCAGTGAGACAAGCCAGTGGAGGGAGTTTAACCAGTAATGGTGAGGACTCTTTAAAAAAAAAAAATCACAGCTGGGAGAGTTCTACACTTGATAGTCGTTCTTGTCAGGGCTCTAGAAACTGGCAAACGCCATGGATCAGATCATGTTATGGTTTGAGCCAAGATTCGCATAAAATGACAAATCATAAGAAACAACGTATCTCAAGATCTTTCAACTATCTGATCCCAGAAAGATAGGTGCATTCCAAACCATATTATCGAAACACCTCAGTGAACGTCAATGACATCTCTGAAAAGGCGAATGAATACTGGTCCCAACTAAAGATATACCTATAAAATCAGCCACTTCCACACTAGGGTATGCTAGTAGGAAATACGTTAGCTATGTGTCGGAAGCAACTATCTGAAAAAGCTGCCAAAGCACGAATGTTAGGTGATCTTAAACACCGGATGCTTTGAAGATTTGCAACGACAGCAGCACGACGGGACAAAAATCGCTATTGGAGCGATATGGCTTTAAGAATGGAGATGGCGGCTCAGCTAGATGATAATAGAAAATTTCGTCTTCTTCACAAAACAAATTATAATTCATGAAGGGGCCAATGAAATAATACGGGATATTAATGGAAAGCCTGTTAAAGCTATTAAGAATCGCCTCATAAAGAATTTTTTGAGGCGATGTACCATTTGTTGTCCCGAATATAACTGTCCCTTGTCGAGCCACACATTTGCAAGTTCGAACAGCCAACAGAAGAGGAAATAATGTCTGTAATCCATAAGGTCAATAAAACTCTCGAAGGTGGTCTTCGCGCTGGACTTTTGAAATGTTATCCATCATCCTTCATAACATCTTCAACAAATGCAGTCTCTAGTATGAAAAAAGAAATATATTACCGGATGATTGGAGCAAAGCAATTTTGCTCCCAATTCTCAAGAAAGGTAACAGGAAATACTGTGACAATTACCGAGAAATCAGCCTAGTAGACAAATTTTCACTTCCCTTCTGTTAAATAGACTCAACGCAACACGAGATGGCAGAATACGTCCTAACTAAACTGAATTCAGAGCGGGATGTGGTTTTGCTGACCAGATATTTACAATAAGAAAGATGCTGAAACATCACTTCAAATAACAGCATTCACCGTCATTTTCTTCATCGATTTTGCAGATTCGATATCCTCGATTCGATTGATGAAACAGCGCTCTGGAAAGTGATGGAAGATGATGGTGTCTCAGGGAAGGTCATTCAGCTTGTAAAGGCATTTTACCAGCATACCCTTATATAAGTCTGTGTATATGGAGAAATGACAGGCCCTTTCGAAATAAGAAGTGGGAACTGGAATCTTTAAAGGTTATCCCTTCCCCTACAATATTCAACAATGTGATAGACTGGATAATGGGTGTCGCTTGTCGGCAATCAAGAGTTGTGCAAATCAGTCCAAAGCATAGCATCACAGACCTAATATGATGAAATGCAAATAATGTGTTTAATGTGTTAAAAGAAAAATGGATTTAAAGACAATGTAAATAAGATGCTGATAATATACCGATTTTTATTTATCAATTCATTGTCGCTTGAGGAATTGCCCGATTTTAAATACCTTGGATCCACTCTAATCCAAAATTGCCAGGTAAAGGATGAAGCTGTAACTCGAATAACGGCAGAAAATCTATTTTTCCGGTTGATAAAATCTCTATGGAGCCACAGCGAAATCACCATAAAAACGAAAATCCTCATCCATATAGCTGCGAAACATCGCCACTGAGAATGGATATTAAAAAAAGCTATCAACCTTTGACCACTCATGTCTAAAGTATATTTACGAATCCGTTGAGCGGATAAAATTGCACATATCCATCTTGCACAAATACCACTTGTATTAATAATGCTATCATAGAGCGTCACCTTCGCTGGTTAGGGCACGTTTTCCGTGGTCCACCACAAGAGTTGACGCATATTTCGCTACTTGCCGAACCCTGTGATGGTTGGCGTCAAAAGGGAGGAGGGCAATCAAGACCTGAAATGATACGGTAAATGATAAAGGAAAGATTTTGAAGGTATAGGCGGACCAGCGATATATGGAGTTAGACGATGGAAAAAGGAATGGTTTCTATTACTGTCGCAGCTTGGAAGAGTTTTACCCTTGTAGCCAGTTTAACCAGTAATGGTGAGAGCTGTTAGAAGAAGAAGGCTTCTGAAATGCATATTTTATATTTCAATAAATAAAAATTAAGAAATCTTTCTTAGTAAACTGTACAAATGTCAAATCGTCCTAAATGGAGAACAACATCAATATTCAGTTTTTCAGTTATAAATCAAGCAAACCAATTGATTAATTCATAACAACAGTAAATATAAATTTAGTAAAACAAATACATGATTCTTACTAAATGCCCAGACTGATACTGCCAGAAGAGATTTTGAAAACACACGCGGCCCAGCGAGAAAGGGGATGATGGAAAAAGGAACAGCTTCTATTGCCCTTCAAGATCGAATCAAGAAGTTTGAAAATGCTTCACTGCTTTGATCGGCCAACAACCTAATTAGCGAGCTGTTAGAAGAAACAGATGTGAAAATCATTTGAATTTGATGTGATAACGGATCAAAATACAGGTTTGCAAAATTTTATGAATAATTCTATGCAAGGCCCTTTCATAATTTATAACAATTATTTTCGTTACTTCATTATTACCGCTATTTCTCTCTCAAATAACTCTCTGCAATAAATAATAAATAAACTATCGGATCGAGCAGCTTGCAAATGTCTTAGCCTGAAGCCAGCGCAGCCAATCTAATCAGCAATGAGGATTCGTTAGAAGAAGAAAAAATAAGATCAAAGAAATGATCGAATTCCTAACTATGAATAATTTAGTCGCATTAACCAATTTCAATAATAATTACCTTTAATTAGCTTTACAACAATATATACGCACATCAGAAATCGAAGATAGGAATCTGTAAACCTGAGTGGCGCGAGTTCCCATACCAATTGTGCCCCCCCCCACCCCCACTATCATTCCTATTCCTATCATTACCAATCACACCAACCTGAACAGTGCAAATTCAAAGGACAAAACCACTAAAAATAAAAATGAGAGTTCTGCGACAACTCTTCATATATTTTTTTCTTAAGACGAAACCATGAAGACGCTATTGGGATCTCCGCCAACAAATCGTCTCCAATCGATGGCAAATTTTATCGGAATTTGTGTTAATGGAGTTGGGTTTGCTGGATTTTATTCATATTTTCGTTCAGTTAATAAGATAGTAGAAAACAGCTGAGATTTGAAGCTCTCATTTGTGGTTTTTCCGTTGTTTCGCGGTTTTTCTATGGATTTTTTCAATTTTATGGAGTAATCTTTTTTTCATTTATTCGCTTATTTAAGTAAATCAGCAAATTATACTAATGAAGGGAAATATTTAGGAGATTTTCGTCACCACCGAGAGCGGTTTTACGGCTCTCTTCTAAGCTGTTGAATTAATTTTAGAATTTTGTTGTGATGCAAACAATTAAATGTGTTGTTGTTGGTGATGGTGCTGTTGGTAAAACGTGTCTTCTTATATCATATACAACAAATAAATTTCCTAGTGAATATGTGCCTACTGTTTTCGACAATTATGCAGTAAGTTCTTCCACTATTAATCTTATTTAATTTTTTTAATTATTTATTTATTTATACATTTATACATTTAAACAAAGGCCAAGCAGGGCATATAGCTATACGTTTGAATTTGTAATATGCATACTATGCAATAGCAAAAATAATAAGAGAACGGTTGTTGCCATTTTCGATTCATGTCAACGAAATCCTTTGTTTCGACTCCTCGTTAAGCCCTTATGTTGCAGTAGTTGTACAATGCTGTTGAATATTGTTTAATTTTCGTTTAAAACTATGCAACAATGGCGCATCACTTCATAAGGTTTTTTATTCCAGTAGTTAATAATACGAATGAAGAAGTCTGAAAATTCCATAACTTAGTTTAAGTAACTTTAGTAATTTCAGCTCAGATTTAATTGCATTTAAATTCAGGTTGAGGTTATTCAATTTAATATTAATTTAAATTTTTAACATCAAAGTTTGCTTATTTCTTTTCAGTCTTAATAAGTCGAAGCTATAAGTATTGTTTTAATTTTTCCTTATAGCTATTATTAGGGTTGAATATATAAAGTATTGTTGTAACCCATTAGTAAGTTTGTTCGCTTTGTGATATATTGGTGAATAACAGGCCATTTGAGGTGAAAGAATGCTTTTGAATGCTTTCAATAAGGAAGGTATTGCTCTTCTATTTTTAAATGATCGAAACAAAAAATTCAGTGTTCTAGAAGTCTTCTTTCCTATTGCCCTACAGTTAAAGTCAAAATCAAGATTTTCATCTATAGTTATACCAAGATTTTATTATTATTGATACGGGTAAGAATTTTATTAATAAAAAGCGGTGAAAGATCGGGTTTTTTTGAAATTGCATTTTGAAAGTGTGATATGTCTTTCTTCAAACCATCCAGCAATTTTGTTAAGATCATTTTGTAAGAGAAATAAATTATTCGATCTGCCATGCGTAATAAATTTTATAATTATCATAGAGATAAATAGAATAGATATAATTTTTTGATACAATCTTATTCATAAAGAACAAAAATCCAGTACTGAGGAACTGAATGGTCTTAAGTCGGAAAGGGAATTATTGATAAGTTGTTGTTTAGGCAGTCTACTTATATAAATTTCTCATGGAAATTTTTATTTGCAAATAGACATGCGTCACCTTCCCATGAAATTTTGAATATTTTTGCATAAAAGCTATGTTAATAAGAGAGTAGTTATATAAATTATTATAAATAAGTTTCTTATTCTACTGCTGATGCATATATAATGTTATGATAATTGGAGGAGTTACAGGTATATTTTTTCCCTTATAAAAACAGAATTAAATAATCAAGTTCGAAATTTTTGTATTTACAGTCTTTAAAATTTATTTAAAAAAAAAATTGTAAATTTAAAACAAAAGAAACAATTGGAAGATTCCCAAAAACATTTCAGGTATTTTTTAGATATAATAAAAGCAATCCAATTACATAATATCTTACAATTGTTTCATTTCATATGCTTAGGAATATGTTTAATTCTTTTTTTTTTAATAAAACTAAGTTTGTATTTTTCTATGTGTTAAGAATTTCTTAATCGATCAAATCATTGTACAATCCCAACCTATTTTTGGAATATGTGATTCAGTAATTTCATATTTCATACTGAATATTTTGGACCTTTCGATAATTTTTGATTATAATTTTTTGATTTTGATTTTGATAATTTTTGATTATAAATTATTTTAAGAGCCTTAACCATTATTAGTTAGACGCATTTCGCTAACTTGCCATACAAGGAAAATATGCCAGGGAAAATCAATGGACAGGGTATACAAGACAAGTTAATAATATTTAAATATAACAATATTTAATAAATTAATATTTACATCCAATATATTTAGTAGACAGGAAATCAACTATGCGAAGTTATATTTTAGAGCGGCACAAAAATTGAGAAAGTCTTTCTCAAATTTATTTTTATTTCATACAATTATTTTGCCAATTTGTTTTGCATGGTAGAGTTGCATATTATATGTGCTGGTGGCAAATTGCATGGGGTTAGTAAATCGTGTCTTTAACAAGACGGTCTGTTGAATCTGTTGCTGGATCAACATTATTACTCGTGATCCACCTTTCAACACTTTTTCAAAATTATTGTATTTTTCTACGAAAGAAGTAGTGGTCACTGGAGTGAGCAAAGCCAGAAATGGTATGCTATAGAAGAAGAAAAATTGATTGATTTCACTAAAGTTTTTCATTTTTTGATAGATATATGTATCTTTAAATCATATATATGTTTTAATTGCTTAATTTTTATCCCTGCAAGTTACTTAAAAAGTTATTTAAAATTTATTTTCTTTAGAATTTTTCTTTGGCATCAAAATGTTTGAATATTTCAAATTTATTAAATTATCAAACGAAGAAAAAAGAAATGGCGAAGTCGTTATTTCTTAAATAATTCCTAATTATATAAATGAAAAAAATTTCTAGGTGACTGTAATGATTGGAGGTGAACCATATACTCTTGGTTTATTTGATACTGCTGGACAAGAGGACTATGATAGGTTACGTCCATTGTCCTATCCTCAAACTGATGTGTTTCTTGTCTGTTTCTCAGTAGTTGCTCCAGCGTCATTTGAAAATGTTAAAGAAAAAGTAGATTTTTTAAAAATTGAATTTAAGATTATTTTTTTTTTGGTTGTTTATTTTTTGGATTAAACCATTCTTAAAACCACTTTTTTTTAGTTCTGATATATTTTTTTCTTTTTTCAATCTATAATAATGCCTTTATTTTAGTGGGTGCCAGAGATTGCGCATCACTGCTCGAAAACGCCTTTTCTCCTAGTTGGCACACAAATTGATTTAAGGGACGATCCATCATATATCGAAAAATTGGCGAAAAATAAACAAAGACCAATATCATTTGATGTAGGCGAAAAATTGGCCAAGGAGCTTAAAGCAGTAAAATATGTTGAATGTTCAGCATTGACTCAGGTCATTCTTTCAATATAATATGCCCTAGCCACACCCATCTTGTCTTTTTCTTTTTGATTAAAATAATTTATTTCCCATTTTTAATTTATATTATAACACATTCAAAAAATTATGAGTTTTGGCGCCTTTGTCGTTTACTTATTCCTTTGAGGTTTAGGTTGGAAGGAAAATTTGATAAATTGGTTTTTTTTATTTACAGAAAGGATTGAAAAATGTTTTTGATGAAGCTATATTGGCCGCATTAGAGCCACCAACTCAAGAAAAGAAAAAAAAGTGCACCTTACTTTGATTGATTTCACCAAATGAGTTCGATTTTCTGTTTATTGTTTTCATTTTTAATTATTTGATGTAATTTAAATGTTACTCATCTTTCTATTTTCTATCTAAATTAAGCAGTTTAAAAGTTTAAAAGTTAAACTGGCATTAATTGCTGTTGAATTTTTGGACTTTTTGAACTTTTTTTAAGTTACCATTAAAATTAGAATATTTTGTTAGTCTTAATAATTATCAAACATCAAAATTAAATATTCCCATTCGGCTTAATGCTTAATTATAAAGAAATGATTTTGGTACGAAATTGCCAACTATGTTCTTAATGCATAAAACACAAATTTTTTCTCTTTACATTTTTTATTTCTTTCATCTTTCATTTTAAATTATAATTTCAGTTTAATTTTGTTTTCTAAGGAATTGAATTTTTCTCTTGCTCGATGCTTCGAAATTTGGATTATCTTACTGAATTTGAGAAAACATCGCCCCACATTAAGACAACGCCTGCCATGCTACTTGTTTCACAATTTTAATGATCTTTATCATATATAAAGAAAAAAAATAGCCATCGAATCTTACAGTTATATTATATCGTTTTAGACCGTAATTCCGAGTTTAATATTGCAATATATTGTCAAATAAAAACAAAGGGATTTTTTAAAAAAAAAGAAATCTTTTTCTTAGGCATATTACCACTAAAAGTACGAAAAAATACAATATGCCGTCAGTAAATATTCTAAAAGAGGAAAAAATAACTAAATAAAAATTAGAGCTATGACAAATCAACTAAAAATAATTAGAAACGTGGGAAGATTATACATATAGTAAAAAAAAAGCAAACAAGCAAATATATGCAATATATAAAAAATGAAGATAAAGGTTTCATTAGAAAGTTTACACTTTTTTAAATGTTTTCAGTATATAGAGAAAATTTATTTGGAAAAGATTTTAAAAATTGTGAGAAATTATTCCACAATTTGCACTGGAAATTAAACCCGACAAGCAACGCAAAATCACAAAAATCTTCACCGAGAATAATGAGATTTTGAAACAAAAGAAGATCTTTCACGAATCAAACAAATTATTCTAAGAAAAAAAAATAGCACGAACTGATTTAGGTGTGCTACCATCATTTAAATGTTTCGTGGTATAACGAAGTGCGTTTAGCAGTGTTTCACTTTGTTCACTTTCAGTTCGAGCTTTAATTAATTCAACGGCCGACCTCATATCAATTGGTGAATCTTTACAAAAAGCGCCAGCACTATCCACATGATCGTAGAGGATAATTGCACCAACCATAACACGAATAGTGAATAAACGAATATAATCTGAAAGCTTTTGCCAGTTTTCCATTTTCTCTACCATAAATCGACAAATCTGCAAATAAATGCAAATACAAAAAAAAAAATGAAGAAGTTTATCTATTATCCACTATTATCCATTATATTTGCATTTATTTAACATTAAACTATATCAAATAAATGAGAAATCTTCCATGCCAGCAGAGGATGATAAAAAATCAGTTAAAATACTTTTAAAATAATTTATACAGAACAGATAGTAGATTTCTATGCAATGTTTAATTCTTTTTTTATTGGCTTAAGTTATCATATATAAGTTATGAGCTATAATTAGGCATATTGGATGCATATAATGGTATTTAAACTAAATCATTTAAAATTTGCAGTTGTCCATAAGTTATTTAAGTGAAAGACCTGTGCTATAGTCGCTAAAGTATCAGTAGTATTTGCGACTGGTAAGTCGGCATGTATTACAACAAAATTAAGAGTCGCTGTAGTAAGTGCGGATAACATTGGCGTTGGACTTGCAAGAAATAATGATATTGTATTGGCCAAATCAGGACTCATTTCATATTTTATATTGCTCTAAAAATTATTTTAGTCGAAACAAAAATGAAATAGCAAATTAAACAAAAAAGCAACTGAGCATCTATAAAATAATTCTTACTTCTTTTGACATGGATCGTCGAAAAAAGCTAAAATCATTTTGAAGAGCTGGAGTACACATTTTCACAGCATCAAATGACAAAACAAAGTCGATTATACGTGCAAATTGACGACATATTGCTTGCGATGCTTCTAATTGTTCTGCAGGTGGCAATGGCCCTAAAATTCGAAAATTTTAGCAAAAACTACCTAGAATACAGTTTGGAAGAATAACTTAGAATAGAATAGAAGAATAAGAATAACTAAACAATGAACTATTGTACATCAAGATTATGATGCTGTATTTCCAAGGGACTCCCTGGCATAGTGCCCAATGCGACAAGCCAATGGAGCGAGTTTAACCAGTAATGGTGAGGATTCTTTAAAAAAAAAAACATCCAGATTATCATATAGGGTTCAATATAAATACTAGCAATTATAAATAAAGTGAATTAATATATGCTTAATTAATATATTCATATAAGTTATATGATCTAATTTTAATCTAAATCACAAATCACAAAGTTACTGAATAGACACACGCCTGAAATAAATCATTAAATAAATAAAATTCTACCAGAGCAAAGCTCCCATAACAACATCGGCACGATTTTTTCCAACCGTTGTGACAAATCATAATACGTCCGAATACGTGAAATGAGTTTTTCTAAAATCTCGAGAGCTTCAGCTTGAAAATTTACATTATTTGGCCATTGTATAGCGACACGTACTTGAGCTGATGCACCAGCTCCATAATTATTTATATCTTCTAATAAAAAATTTGCCTGCTCAAGAATCTGAAAAATCATTACTATTGGACTGAACGGCTAACGGAAAATATACATAGAAAAATGAATTGATTCAGTTAGTTATTGATTTCAGCTACCAACCGCTACCCTATCATAGCTCTTCAATGTCATATAATAATAATTCATAATCCATGATAAAATGTAATGCATTCTAATTCAAAATTACTAGACAGGCTTGCTCCACAGGCTAAAAACGCGGAGGAAATTCGATGCCAAATCTGAAAATAACGAATCATTCCTTCTTCCACATCTAAATCTACAAGCCCGCTGGGCGACTTACGTGTTTAAAATCTCTTGAAAAATCCTAGATCTTCCTTAGATCCTTTCATTACATCACCGATCAGTTGAAAGATAGGGAAATGTTTTAGTTCCTGTGATAGGTGAATGTATTCTACTCAAATAAATTTTTCTATGCATTTCTCGTCAACAATTCTCGTTAACAATTATTTTTAGACTAATCAATATACTTTATTATAATTATTTCTAATAACTATCTATTATATTATTTATTTAACACTATTATTTAGTTACAGTGATAACTATCATAATATTATTATTTATTATTTTCTTATTAATTTATTATTATTTTCTTATTAATATTGCTCTTTATTATTGCTCTTGTTACTACTTTTAATTATTATTTAATATTATTATTACTATTATTATTATTGATTATTAATTGTTATTACTACATCATTATCATTAATTACCAATTATTATTATTGATAATTATTAATTACTATTATTATTACTGATAGCCTTCCGTTCTATAGTAGTACAGTAATAAAGCGATAACCTTGTCAGCAAGTGCAAAAAGATGTGCCTCAGATTCGGAAGGAACTGCACTCTCAAAATCTAAAAAGATATTAAAATCGGGAACATTTGTCCTCGAACCATCACAGTGTGCTAAAACCGATCGAACTACTTCAGCACACGACGCTCCACTTTTCATATCATTCTAAAATCAAAAAAATTATTCAAACTTTGCTTTCCTTAACGTAAATTAGCAAACCAACAAAAAATAATAGCTTACGGAGAAATCTTTTCGTTGCATGTTTTCTATTTTTTCTATTTTTTTAAAATTTCCTTACTCGATTATCAGTAAAAACAATTTGCGAGTTTTTCCACTAAAATTGGCTCCAATCAGTCTAAACAATTTTTCTCTATTACGATTTCAAACATCGCAGCAATGAATTTCATTTACATAGTGAAATTTTCAACCGCAATTCTAGCCATAAACACATCTTATTAGCGTGATAATTAGAGTTACATAGGACAGAAATACAGGGGAAACAGTAGCACCACCCGGGTTCCACCTTTAATGACATGCTTTAAGGGGTGTCTCAAATTAAGCGACAATGACCTAAGCTGGGCCTAATGTTTGAGCTCGAGGTACCGCCTACAATAAAGTTACCTCTTCATATTTAAACCATGTTTGAGCACAAAATGGTAACTAAACCAAGCCATATTTAACCAAAATACAAATAAAATATGAACAGAATTAGAGGTGCAAGTACCGTCCAGCGTCGCGACCACTTACACTGGAAATTTGCGTTAAGATTCGCCTTCTCAAAACTCTATTGGCACTCGAACTCTATTAACCACCAGTTTTCTACCATTAAATGACTCACCAACTAGCAAAAATCTCTTCAAATAGCCAATTCTAACCAATTACTCTGCTAATGCAAATTCGAAAAAAATGAATCGAATAAAAACGCTTTTTTCGAAAATTTGTAAAAATAATTTCCTTTCAAACGATTGTAAGAATTTCGTAAAATTCGTTTTTCTGTCATTTCGCCGATTTTATAAAATTCGTCCCCTTAGAAATAATTTCAAATAAAAATAAATTCTTTTACTTTTAAATAAATAGTAAAAATTATAGCATTTAATTGTGAAATAAATTAAATAATTAAATTAGAATTAAAATTTACGAAATTTTCTAAATTTCGCAATAAAATTAACTTTTTAAAATTCATTAATTGTAAGCGTTGCATTACACTTCTTAAATTGTAGTAACCATCAAAATAATTCGTCTAATCACTGGGTTATTTCTGGTTTAATAGTCAGTGTTAATAGCGAAATCCAAAGTTATTTCGATTAAAAGAGGAAGGAAAGAACCACCGGGAATTCATTTTTTTTTAGTAGCTCTCCCTCAAGAATATGGGCAGTGGAACTTGCGATGCTTCAACTTCAGTAAGACTACAAATATGAATAACTCCTTCCTCGCTCTTCATGAATTTTTTTAAATTTAATTAATCAAATTACTATAAAGAAGGAGTAAAGCGTCCAAAAATCCGAGTGATGCTGGCGGCTCATCTGTATTTCTATGGCCAAAGGACTCCCTGGCATATTGCCCAGTGCGACAAGCCAGTGGAGCGAGTTTAACCAGTAACGGTAAAAAAAATTACTATTAAGCGAGGGCTAAAAGAAATGCGCACAATAGGTTATGCCAGTGTTTAAATTAATTGCATAAACTAGCCCGTACCTCTCCAACTTCTCTTTCAGCTGAAACGTTAAGTTATATTTTGAAAATCGTTATGATTCAAATCGAAATGCATAACACTTGGCAAAAGCTGATAGCGAGTGATAATTGCGCAATAATAATATGATTTGTTGCGAGATTTTTTTTCCTGATCGTATCGTGGTAAATGCATAGGCGATGTCGAAATGACTAAGCCTGGCTCTAACCATTTTTGATAAGGCTCATTCTACTGGTTGTTAGGACAATAAATAGTTTATGGCAACGAGTCACTTGGAAGCAAACATATAGATGGATCCCAGCGCCACTCGGACTCGAATGAATATTTTTCTCATTACAGTTACAAAAATTACAGCTTATTGCCGCTTATTAATATCCCTCCCCATTTCGTCTAATCTCATTAATCAATTATCAGCCTCACATGTCTCATAATCTCTATGGGTGAAGTGGGATTGGCGACTTTATCTATAAAACCTTACATTTCTTTTTTGGGAATTCTCCCATATGAATAACCACGCTTCTAGGAATACTCAAATTACTTGCAAATTAGTAAGTCGAATAAATCTAGTTAACATAAATAAGTAAGTTCAGTGTTGTTCAATGTTTAAGTTTTCTTCTTTAACATTATTTCCAGGTGTGGTACCAAATTATGAGGCATGGGAGTGTCTCAGTCTTGGCTTGGAAACTTATGAGGAATAAAATGAGTTTAATCAGTATTAGTTTTCTTTGCCTTCACACACTATGGGGTAATAATGCTACTAGACGAAAAGATTCAACTGAAATTATTGAAACATACATTAAGAATTCATTGAACTTAATAAAAACTTTAAACCTCTCATAAAAAATAAACTGGCATAAATTATAAAAATATTGTAAGTATAAGAATTACTAATGAACAGATTAATGTAAAATCAAGGCTCATGGAAAATGATGGAAAAATAGTATATGGAATTGTGAAATATTCATAGACTACTGCTTGCAGTGGTAATTCTTTGAAGCATCCAGATAGTCAAGATCTCCTGACATTCTTTAGCAGCGCTGGACTGTTCTTTCCGGTACCCAATTAGCGCATTTCCTACTAGCATATCCTAGCGTGGAAGTGACTGACTTTCAGAAACATTCCTTTATTTGGGACCAGTATTCATCTGCCGTTCCAGAGATGTCACTGATGTTAATTTCACTGAAATGCTTCAATAATTCGATTTGAAATGTTTTTATTCCCTCTGAATATTTTGGTTTGAAATAGTTGATTGATCTATCTACCTTTTAACCACTCTTGTCTAAGGTACATTTTACGGGTCCGTCAAGCGAATAAAATATCACATCGCATCCATCTTCATTCAAATTCAAATACCACGTGAATTAATAATGTTAACACAGAGCGTCGCCTTCGATGGTTAGAGCACATTCTCTGTCGTCCACAAGAGTTGTCGCATATTTCTTTACTTACTAAACCATGTGATGGATGGCGTCAAAAGCGAAGTGGACCAATCAAGACCTGGACTGATACGGTCAGAAAAGATTTTGAACGTATAGGTGGACCAGCAATATATGGATTTAGACGATGGAAAAAGGAATGGCTTCTATTACTGTCGACGATGGAATCAGACCGAGCCGCTTGGGAGCATCTTGAGCCGGCCTAACCAGTAATGGTGAGAGAAGAAAAAGTTGAATGATCTTGGAAGACTTCATTTCTTGTGGAGTTTTTATGTGAATCTTGGCTCGAACCACAACATGGTCAGATCCATGAAGGTCCGCATTTTATCAGTATACCCTGGCGCAGGTCTGTGTATATGAAGAACTGACAGAATTCTTCGAAATAAAAACTGATACCCGTCAGGACTACGTCCTTTCCCCCACAGTATTCAACTATGCGATAGACTGGACATCGCTTGTCAGCATTCAAGAACTGTACAAATTACTCCAGAGCATAGCATCACAGACCTTGAATAAGCTGATAATGTAGTCCTTTTTGTTGACATGATGAAATGCAAATAATATTAAACAATATGTCAACAACTGCAGCTCGATTTTACTGGCTTCCATTCAATCGGAGCGGATTAAGTTTTTTCAGACAACAGCTTTGCCTCGAGTTAACCAAAAACACCATAATTACATAACCAGCAGCTCTGATCGGAGCCAGGTTTAGTAATTACTTGATACTCGAAGTAGGAAGAGAGATTTTCGACAAGCAGGCGACATCTACACGATTTAGAAAAGTGTCGGCACTAATCGCTTGGCTTATCCATAAGCGTTCTGATATTCCACGCTGCTATTGCTAGCACTTCGCGGTATGTACAGATAGCCGTTCTTCTTAACAGGTTTCGAGCAACTATTCTGGCTCGACTCGCGAGCACATTATAGTCTCAGGCCTTGTGGTAGTATACTATGTCTGGATTGCACAGTTATTATATGTCAAAAAGACCCGATCCTTTCACCATGGAAACGCTTGATGATATAGTTACAGGTTGGCCCACCAGTCGGATTTTTGATATCATACAGGTTTACTCTTGTCAAAGACAAAGACAATGCTGAAAAAAAATTAAGGGGGAATGAAAAATAAAATAGAAAGAAAAAAATTAAAAAGGAAAAATAATTTTTTAAAGATTTAGAAGAACTTGGCTCTAATGGCAAATTTTGAAATAGCGTAAGAGAAATTAGCAAAGCGGGAAAAACGACCGCTCAAAAAACTGCCAAAATGGTAATTGGTGGTATCGGACATCGAATATGCTTACCTATATTTTCGTGAAAATTTCTTAACAAAAAAACGAATAATTTTTATCATTTCGGGTTTCCTCTTTCCATAATAGCGACTAAACGAAAAGTTAAAATAAATTTTCAAATGATTATTTTTTTGTTGCTCTGAATTAAGAGAGATTAAAATGAATATTTACAAGATTCTGGAAGAGAAAAAAAGCAAAACTGGAAACAATAGAAACGAAAAGTCATCAAATTAATCTCGAGAATTAAAAATTGTTTTTCGATAAAACTGCGAAATATGGGAAACTTTTGGAAATATAGGAAACATGACAAGTAAGAATAAAATAAAATTTCCGAGAATTCCCAACGGGGAATTTCTTGTCGCTAAAGCCAATGACCCTCATGCAAATTTTTGAAGCCAACGACCCTCATGCAAATTTTTGAAGCCAACGACCCTCATGCAAATTCAAAATGTATGAAATGTATGCAACGACAACATGTATGTAGTATCGATGAATTAAATAATTTTGCAAATATTTCAAGAAAAGTTCTTGACCAGAAACTTTTTAAAACTTTGCATTGATTTTATTAATTCATCTAAGAAATTGGAAAAATTGACGATTCTTGCTTATTTCTCTTCTTTCAACAATTCTGCTTTGGCTGCTGCCAGTGGCTATTAGAATGAGAATTCGTCACTAGCCACTTGATAACCACTTGGAAGTGGGTTCTCAGCAACACTGCGACAACGGAGTAAAATTTCTGAGAATTTCCCAAGGGAGAAGTTCTCGTCGCTAAGACTTCACTTTCACTTTTAATAATCTATACTGACTAACTAGAATAGAATAATAGCCAAGGAGCAACAACTGAATAATGGTTCCTTAAAATAATAAATTTTTATGGATGCATGAATTTTCTTTATTATTTCTTTAAAATAGTTAAATAACGATGAATTCTTCCATATGGCAAATTTCGTATTTTGGCTTTTTTTAAAAAAGATTTCTTCATTAATCCTCCAATGAATTTATTTGCAAATTCAATTAAAAAAAAATAAAAGTTTCATGTTTTAAATAAAAATTTATGAAAATCTATTGGCCTTCAAATAAAATTTTATGAGAATAAAACCGATAAAATCCAAATTTAAATAATTTGAATGAATCACAACAACAACAATTATAATTGGAACAGCATGCATCACTGCTCCTTCGGTTGGCTCAACTGATTAGCAATCAGCATTTCTGGTGAAGTCGGCTCAGCACGATTATAAATTTTTGATGGGCGGATACGTGACGATAAACAAATAGCAGTCACCAGCAGCACCGACTTTAGGTTTCACTTGTGTCGCGCGCACCTACAGCCGAACCCGAACAGATGAGTATAACCTGGGTGCTACGCTTTTCCGCCTATTTCATTCGGCTACTTGGGTTAAATAATTTTTCGATTGTCGGCATACAACGTCTTATCTAATTGTTGGAAATTGAAATACCTAAATTAGGAAAAAAGGAGGTAATTCGGAATTTTCGTTGAGAAGAACGGCGACAATTCTTATTTCAGTTTTTTTCCGAACATTAGTTCACTAAACAACGTTCGTTTATGTTAAGTTATAAAATAAAAATAAATATTACTGTCTGCAAAGGAAATGTGAAAGAGAGAGGAATTTATCTCAAAGGAGATATTTCGATTCGTTCGTTGCATAAATTAAGTAGAAGTGTGCCTTTTGGATGAAAATTCGTTCGATAATTTCATTCGCTGAAAAGTCAACAAATAATTTCACTTTTGCCAGAAAATAAAGCGAATAATGCGGCAATAATTTAATTTTTTGTCAACGAAGCCAAAATAACAAATTTCCGAGTTCTCAAATAATTATGGAAATGAAAAATATTTTCGCGCAGTTGACTGATCGTTTAAAATTTCATTTAAATTTCATTATGAATGCTGAATAATTTTTATTTCGATAATTCGCTGCTGAAATCATTTTTAAACTATCAATTACACTAAAAGACAGTTGCGCGGATAACTTGGATTATTATAGTGAGAGGAAGAGATTCGGCCACTACCCGCTGACGTGCATCAAAAAATGCGGGTGCCCCCGGCGGCCGTCTCCACTTCTGCCGCCAAATGACTGTTTGGCAAAATTCCTCGCTGAACTACATAGCTGGCGGAATCTGCCCGAACAGAAATGGTGATTTATTCCCATTTCATTTCACTTACAAGGTAAACTGTTGTACTGTTGTAATTAAGCGAATTAAAAGTAATAAATTAGTGTTATTAATAATAAACTAAATTATTTTAAGAAGGAAATGAGAATTTAAAGAAATTCGAAATAAAAAATTAAATAAAAATTTAAGAAATTTAAAAATGTGATAATTTTAAAAAAATAATTGGTAAATTCGAGTCGAAAATGTTTTTTTTCATTCTCGTTTTTCAACACTAAAATTTAAAATTTTACCGCGTGGAAAAATCGAAAAGCTTTTAACTTTCGCCTACTCGCGCTCACCATTTCTCGCTGGGCACCCCGTTCCACTGGTTTTTAGAAATTTTTCGAGAGCAACAAAAGCAGACGTGGGGAGTAACCAACATACCACATAGTTTTTCAGAACCATTCAAATTATCCTTGAAAACTGATAAATTCTATTTAGCGCCATGTGAAACGAATTTTATACAAAACACAAACAAACTGCTGAGCAAATATACAATATTAATTAATTATTAATTAATTATGAGAATCGGAAACAGTTTCAATAATCCCTTAAATATATTCGAGTCAATGGCTTGGCCGTCGTTGGTTGCAGAGATAAAACTCTCATTAAAAATCTAAGTATTCGCGATAAGTACTCGCCTATACTTCTCCTGGTGAATCTAGGCGGGTGGCGACTCGCCTATACTTCTCCTGGTGAATCTAGGCGGGTGGCGACTGCTCTGACTATTTCAAAAATTTGACTTTAGCGATGCCATAAAATTTAACTAAAAATTTTTGTATAATGATAATAGAAACACCTTTTCGAAATATTTCTCTGAAATAATTTCATTTAATTCTAATATGAATATATTTAATCGGATGCGAACATTGCTCGAATTTTATTTTGGCTGAATGTGAACGAGAATTCGGAGTCGATAATTTCAGTAATTTCAAAATTTCGAAATAAATATTAAATAATTTTAAAAGGATTGGAATAATGCTGTTTGTTTGCTTAGATTTTCATTTTCATTCATTTTTATATTTTTTATATATTTTTATATTTTTCCATGGTTCCATATGTTTTTCGCAGCTTCCGGCGGCGGAGCTCGGCTCGACTTGGCCCAGGCCAAATAAATTTTGTCACTCGGCAGTAGGGGGTATCGCAAGCATCTGCCAGTTTTTGCCTCTAACTGCGGTATTGAACTCGCTTGTCTTCTTGCTTAAGAGAAAACCTTTCTAATGTTACTCAGCTTCCCAAATAGTCACGTAAGCTATCAGAACTTTACTTTTAATAATAGTTTTTCTCCCGACGGGATGCAGTAATCCAATTTGTGATATTTTAAAGCAATTTCATTTGTACTTTTCATTTATTTGCTAATTCATTTATTCATATTTAAAAATTCATTTGTAATTTTCTTTTATTTATTCTTTTTTTTATTTATGCATTTTCTTTAAAATTATTTTTTTTTTTCAGAGAACTGTTAAATATGTTTAATATTTTATTGCTTTTATTGTCACATACAATCAATTGTAAAAGCGATAACGAGGAAATAATTGATTATGGGTTGGTAAATATCGCCAATCAGTTGGTTTTGATAAATATGATAAAAGGTGATTTACAAGCGACGAATTCAACATATTTTGAATTGAAATGGAAGGGACGTATGCGAATTATACTTGAATCGATTTGGGGTGATGCTGATTTATATCTTTCTTATAAATCTGTTAGTTTTTTATTTACAGTTAAATGTTTTGAAATTTTATGCCCATTTGTTGTATATTCAAGTTTCAGCTTACTAATTCTATTAAATTATTACTATTTATTTATAAAAAAATTTATTCACGATAATTTGCTTTTGAAAAAATAAGTCTGCCGGTATCATAATAATACGCATAAACTTAAAATAATAAAAAATAAAAAGAACGAGAATTTAGGCGCAAAAGAAAAAATATATTATCATTATTAATAGGAGTGGTTTGGTTAGAAATTATTAAGAGTCGACTGTATGAGCAGAATGTTTTGCCTCAGAATCATTTAATGATAGAAATACGCATAATTTTCCAGCACCATCCTGATTTTTTAACGCAAATATACTCTTGCTAAGGGCATCGCACTGAACAAATATTTGCGACTGTAATCTAGACTAACCTATATACTTTCAACAACTGTTCCATTATTAATAATTGATGAAAATAATTGATAAAAAAAATTCAAAATTCAAATTCAAATTCAAATTTAAAGTTCGAAATTTGAAAAGAAAACATTTTATTTAATAATTAATATCAAACAATAACAAAATATTTTATTAATTTAATTTATTTTATTAATTGAAGTTTTTTGAGAATTTTTTTAAAATTTAATTTAATTATTTGGTTAATAAAATTCAAATTTGTTTTTTTTTAACTTTGAGATTTTTCTTTATATTTCTGGGTTCCCATTCTTTCAGTTTTTTGAATTCATATTTAATTCATTTATGCCCATTTTATTTTCTGATTTTAAGAAAAATCCTGGTTCTGAAGTCGATAATCACGATGTACTTTCAACAACTTGTGGTCTTGATATAATTGATGTGCCTCAATTTGCGCAACGTCCGCTGTATCTTGCGGTAAGTTGTCCTTTTTGTGAAATTTTTTCTGTTTATACGAGATTTTTTTAAATAATTCGTTAACATCATAAATGAATGCTATTTTTTACTTCGTAATAATAATGCTATATATGAAAATGTTATTATTGTTTTATGGTCATAATTTCTATTTTTTATTTAATTTTAGTTTCTTTATGAATCTTCTCTCGAAATGTCTTTATTTGTTTTTGGAATTTGTTTTTATTTAAATTTTATTTTAATTTGTTAACAAATCAAAGTTTGAATTCAAACTTAGAAGTCGGTCCACCAAATTTCTTCAAATTTAGTTATAAATTATCATCTGTGTAATATTTAAATATGAAATATTTATTACTACTGAGAAACATGGTTTCGACGATCAGTTCTTAGTTTCCATTAACAACTTTTTTTTTTTGAAAGAAGGTGGTGAAACGATTTTAGCAAATATTTTTAGGTTTCTGGGCATCCATTTTCAAAAAATATATCTTATCGAATGGTTTGGTTAATGTTACCAGAAATCAATAATGAATTTGAAGAACCTATTGATATTCCATCAGAAATTATTTATTCGTTGCCGCAAGTGGAAACTGTCTCAAATTCACTAATTTCTTTGGTGGAATTTATATTAGATATTTTCATTGAAGTGTTATTGTAATGCATGTTTTCTGTTTTCTCGTTTTTATTTTATTTCGACAGCAGTTACAGTTTCTCATTTTGCTGCTTGCCTTAATTGTTAGGTTGCACCATCTTTTTCAAGGAGTTCATTTAGAGATAAAATCCTGATATCCCATACATTTCGGACTTCACTTTTAGCAATATACTGCTCTTAATAGAAAGAAGTCTAATCAATGCTATATTATACCGAATTAACGATTCAACCATCCTCCTTCGTTTTTTATAAAAACGGTACTTGTATGTTTTGGTCCGCTGCCTATCGTTGATATCTTTTCATTTAAAGTTTTGAATTGTCATTGTAGTCTATTTCTTATTTATTAATTATCGTTTAATATATGCAATATAATATATTTATTAATTATATATCCTGATTTTGTTCAAAAATTTTAAGTAATTAAAATATTCAGTGAATTCAATCATTTGAAACTGTTCTAAGCGTGATATTTTATGACGAAACCATATTGTCAGCATAACTGACATATTTTTTTCGATTTTTTTTTTCGAGCTTATTTTTAGCTTATTTATTGTGCTGCTTTAGACTTCATCCTATTCGAATGAATAATCTCATTCGAATTTTTTCGTACCAAGTTAAATATTTTATCAGTTGGTTACTTATCATGAAATAAATTGTTTTTTTTTTCCTTTAATTTGCGTCTTTCGCGAAATTATTTTCGTGAAATTTCATTGCATAAAGAATTTACCATTTTCTTTTCCTTGGTCATTTTTTGCATTTTTTTTGACCGAATTTGCAGATTTATGTAAGTTTGTTTATAAATGATTGTAAGAAGCTGTAAATATTAAAAATTATTTGAATGTTTTTTTGTATGTGCTTTTAAATTATTGTATAAATATTTCTACTAGTTTTTGTGGTCTGTTTTTCTCAGTTTTTTGGCAAATTATCTGGTAACGAAAATTTATGGATTTTTTTATGGTTTTCGAATCCTTTTTTTATTATCAAAAATATTGTTCTCAGAAAAGAAATTTTTTTATAATATTGAAGTCTTTTATGTTTGGCATTATTGGCGTCTAAAAATAGATAAAGTAGATGAAAATTGTTTTAAATGGTACAATTTTTTTCCTTCAATACTGATAAATTTGTTTCCAAATTTTGTGTGGACGCCAAGTCCCCTTGATTTCCGTTAGAAGACGCAAAGCGATGGTTTTCTAGTGATTCAGAAATCTAGCTAAAATTTGATTTGAGCACACACCAGTGCATTAGCTTATATAATTAAAGATTTGGTTTTCCAAACAGTTTTCAAGGCATTCTAAAGTTGCTTGAAAACAAGTTTTTATTCATCTAAATGAAGGATTTCACAATGAAGATTTGTTTGTATTCATCTTAGGTTTGCCTTATAAATTGTGCGATTCATTGGGAATTCATGACTTTTTGTTGTTTTTTTTCAGATTACTGCATTATTTGCATTATTTATTTGCGATGGATGTGTCGACAAAAAGCAACATTATTTTGCACAATCTCGATAAAGATATCTTTTTTCTAAAATTTATTTATAGGTTTTCATGTTGATGGTTTGAAAAGTGGTCGGAAATATGCAGTTCAGTTGTTATTTGAGTCTGAAATTCTTTCATTTCTTTTTTACTTTACATTTCTTTGTTTTCTAATTTATTTATTTTTTATGCTTGCGATGTCGGAATTTACACGAGCAAATGGCTACAATCGTAAGCGTCTCATCGCTTTTTCGTTCGAATCCTTTTCCTTTCTTTGTGAACGCTGCGGTTCTCCGACTTTGCGAAACATTCAGAGATGAGTAAGTGCCTTTCTCTCCCTCTCTTTATTCTCTGGTTGGTCTCATTTGGTTTTTCGAATAATTATTTGGGAAATTATATTTTATTTATTTTTTCTGCTCAGTTTAGTGGTAATTTTTGCGAATTTTCAGGAGTGTATTTCGATTTATTTCAGAATTTCAGGATTTTTTCTTTGATCCCACGCTTTAATGTCTTTTTTATTCCTTCATTCTCATGTCCTTTTATTTCATCTGTTTGAAAGCTTTAGATGCAATGAATTGCGTTTATGTATTGTGCGAGTGATGGGTGAATGTAAATCTGAACTACAACTCGTGTTTTCTTGTGATGAAGTCGCTCGACGCTTATTAAAAGTATCACATTCTAATGATGTTCTCGCCCGATCACTTACTCTTCATATGCTCGCCAAGCTTGCTGTTGTAACTGCCGAAAATAAACAAGTAAAATTTTCATTTTAATAATTTTTCAAAGTGAAAAGAATTTATTTCACTTTGAAATAAAAGAATTCTTTTTTTTGACTTAAATAAATAAATAAAAATTGTTGCATTATTTTTAATTTTTTAATTTTATCTGCACTTTATTTATTTGCGATTCAGGTTCATCACCTGATTATAACAAGTCTCGATTCAGATGAGCAGCAAGAGCAATTAGCATCTATAATCGCATCGAAAGAATACATGCGCGTATCGAAGTTTCTTATTTTTGATTGCATGGCACCATTATTTTCTTTAGGATTTTTTTAAAATTCGATTGATAAATTTTTTATATTTTTATGATATTATTTTATAACCAAAGATATTTTATGCAAAATTTTAGATCATTTTCACAGACAATATTTGAAAAACTTTGTACGAGATTACTTTCAACTGCTCTATCATCAACAATGAAAGTGCGCTTAGTGGATTTGTTTGCCGAAATCACAGCGGATATTGAAATTATTATGCAGATTTTCGAGCTTGGTGAAAGGATCCTTCAAACCGCTTGCAACAAGCGATTAACAATAGCTCTTATAACGTCACTTACAACTCTGGCATGTTCTTGTCGCTATGGTGTCCCAAAACTGGTTTGTTTTTTAATTTTTTTTCAAATTGTTTGTTCTATCAAGCCAAAGAACAAAGAGTATTCAAATAAATTTTTTCTTATTAGGCTTTAAAAATTTTATAGCTCGTTTCTTTAACTTTTTAAATATTTCTTTTCATAAATTTTTAAATTTATCGTTTTTCAAGAGTTCCCCTTTTTATATATTTTAATTCTTAATCTTTCTCATTTTTTCTTTTGAAGCGCATCCTTATTTGTCATAGGTAATGAATGGATTTTCCTTTTCTTTATGGTAAATTAAATTGTTTACTTTTGAGAATTACCAATGTTATAGCTGAATCTTTTACTTAATCGGCTCAACACCACATATGATCCAGTTTTTTGCGTTGTTATTCTTCGAAGTGTTCAACGATTATCATCAGCTGTTCATATGTTTAGCAGTTCTCAAATAAAGGTAATCTACCATCTAATACGCCAGATGGTTAAATGTTTGTTTTTTTAGTATACAATGTATACAATGCAGTACATTTAAAAAAAATCCATTCAAATTTTTCAATATTTTAAAAAGTGAATTAGACTTGACAAAGCAGTAATGTAATATATTATGGCCTACAAAGTAGTTGATTTTTTTCTTCGCATATCTTTTTATTTCTTGGCTGTATTACATTTCTGTTGATCTATTTGTTTTAGGAGCTTTGTGATTTTGGTGAAGTAATTAAGCATCATATTGTTCGCGAAGCTTGGTTAATGACTTTAATACGTCTTTCTATTCAAAATATCAAAAAAGTGAATGATGTCATAGATGGTGAGTTTACCTTGTAGGATTTCGAAGAATTGAAAACTATGGATGACTTATAGATCAGTATAAATTACACAATTTTATTTTATTTGACATAATTTCATAATTTTGCAGTAAAATGATCTCAAAATATCAAATTTTAATTATATGCTATGCTTAATCAAAGTATTAAGTGGTATTTATTCAAGTAATATATGTATTTTATCCACTATCCTTAATTAAACGAATCATGATAATTCATATTTTCTTATTATTAATGTCGAGTTTTTGTCTTCACTGATAAATCTTTTAAAAAATTGTAGAATTTTATGGCTCTTGGAGTTTTCTTTTGTCATCGGAAAATATATCTATTCGATTAGGTGCTATGCACTTATTTGTTAACCTTTATTTACGACTTTTAACATCTAATGTTGCTTTATTACTTCAATCTGCCTTTATTATCGGAATAAATGAAAAGAAATTCATTAATTCAGAGAAGGTTTTTTTTCCATTTTCTTATTTATTTTTTAAAAACTTCTCCAAGTATCCATTTTCTTAAATTATTTTGTATTTTTTATAAATGCTGAATGTTTTCAGTTTTATCGGTTATTAACTGTTTTTCTTCGTCAAAGATCTTCCATTGATTACGTGGATTCACTTATTGAAGCACTGTTGGACGTTGTGAAATCGTCAGATCATTTCTACATTCTACAGTTGCTTATTTCTACTGCTGAAGCTCATCCATACTTGTATCCTTATCTTTCAAAATGGGCAAGATCGCAATTAAATAATGAGTATTCTGACTTCGCTCATTTAACAGTAATTTTTTTCAAAGTTTTGCGATTATTCTTCATTTTTCATGAATTTGTTTTCAAGTGGTACTCGCTATTTCTGGCTCGGTTATTTTAACTGACTATTGTGATAAACTTCTTTCACTGGAGAGTTACTTAGATATAGAATTGCAAATACATCCCACAGCCACTCTCTTTTATCTTTTTTATGGTAAATATATATTTTCAAAATGCGTTTTTTTAAAAAAATGTGAATTTTTATTAAAATTCTCCATGGTGTAATAAAACTAATTGGATGGCTTGGAGCGTAAAATCTAGTTTTTCTTTTCTTTCCCGTGAAAATTTTTTGTTTTTTGATCAAAGTATGATTAATAAAGAATTTTGCAGCTTTTTGCATATCTTGTATATGCACCTTTCGAAGATGTGGCGAATTTACCAGCAAATCATTTGAATCATTGGGGCCAAGATTGTTGGAAACTTTATTTGATCGGTAGAACAGCTATGCGAAATGGTCATGGCAAACGAATTGCACTGCCTATTTTTGAACTAATTGAAAAAGAGGTAATCTTTTTGTATTCGGGTGGTATCATTTAAATACATTTAATTGTTAGCTTTTTAATTCACGAAGGCAGGGCACCAAGGGATAAAAGGGTTTTAAAAGCAAGGGTTTGTCTCTCATACATGAGTAAACTATTAAACTATCACTGAAAAATTTTGGTTATGGCGTATCCATACTTCTAGCACCAAATGATTCTCTTGGAAAAATTTCTAACAGCCGGCTGAGCGAGCTTAACTATAAGTTTTGAGAATTAACCGCATTACGACGATATCCTCCATATACTTTCAGACAAAATCTTTCAAAACTCAATCATGGATTTCGACCTTAAAATCCATTTGTATTGCTGAACTATCGGAATTCAGTGTTATCGCAATTGATAATTCACTGGAAAACTATAATACAGCTCTATGTTCACTTGCAGTTGGTTTCTAATTTTATTCACTTGGAAATTATATCATTTTGTTCAGAAATATATTTTTTAAAAAAATAAAATGCTATGTTAATGTAGAGGAATGGAAGGGGATGTGGATATTTGCTATTTTTTAAAATATCATTCACTCTTCCATGTTCCTCTATAAATGCGGAAAAAAATAGTTTTTTCAAGGGATTATGCGCTTTAAAAGAAACTCAGTTACATTTCTTTTTTGCTGAAAAATATCTCGAAAATATTTTGTCATTTCTTCTGGTGGTTCGTCGCGTACTTATTGTTCGAAATATAACTATTGGATTATGTAAAGATTTACCTACATATATGGCTGATCGTTTAATAATAGAATTACGAATATGTTCCAACTGTTAGTTTTATTTGCCTTTTTCGTATCTTTTTATTTTACAAATTTTTCTTCTTTCTTTCTATGTGAAATCTTTCTATGTGAAATTTTGTTATACATTGCAAAATCTAGTTTATTTTTATTTTTGTTTCAAATGGATCCATTTAAAATGGAACTGATGTTTGTTTATTTTTACATATTATAGTATTAATTGCCTGTCGTGATAAATGGGCAAAATTGTATCGGCGTTGTTTTGATGCTGACGCTGAGACTCTAGCTACTATTGAATTATACTGTTCATTGTGTGCTGTTTTAAGTACTGGTTTGTCGCTTTTTTGTGAAGAACAGCCTCTAAGGTCTGAATTTATATTAATCTGTAAGATTTGATGGTTCATAATTTCATCTGCGTATTCATATTATAAAAGTTTTTTTTTTTTAAATCATCTTATTTACATGATATTTTGCCTTCATTATAGCATAATTAATGTGCCATCAATGAAGCGAGGTTCTGTTTCAAATAATCGTTTACGTTCAGCTCTTGTTTGGGCTAAGAACCAGCTTGAAAAGTTCGAAAAAATTGCTTTCAAGCATCGATGTACATACGAGGTTTCTTTGTTTCTCAATCTTGGTGTTTTTTTTCGAAAGACCCCAAAATGATGATTGTCTGATGGATATTGTTGATTACTGTGGATTATTGTAGTAGATCATTTTGACATGTCAACGGCGACTTTTTTACGTTCCAATAGTATGGGATTAAAAATTTAAGTAGAAGTTGAAATCCTATTAACGTTTAATTCCATTTTTAATCCTTATTATACAAAAAAAATACAGAATACAGAAACAATCTATTTTACATAATTTTCGTGAATTATCTCCAATTCTAGATGATCTATAGAAGCACACAAGCAACAAGGAAAAAATTAACGTATTATTGATATTTTGCGATTGTTACTGATATGTCTGTCGGTTTCTTGTACTAATCTATGAAAAGAAGAGAAAATGATGACATAAATATAGTGATCTGCACAAAATTTTAAAAAAATATTTTATATTCAGTGTTCTTCTTAACCAGACCCGCGCTTATAGTCGAGAAATCGAAGGTGACAGCATAAAATGTCATCATCTAGAATAGATTGTAGTAAATTGCTAGGTGGGATAAGCTACAATATTTTATAATATTTTGTTCTGTTTTATATTTCAGAATATAAATGGTTTTATTCAAATTCTCAGTCATTTATCTTGCTTTCCTTTTTGTATTCCACGCTTCTTTTTCCAACAACTTAAGTTTACACAGATCAAGGTTATTACATATTTAATTTTTTGTACACTTATTTTCATTTTTCCATGCGCTTTTAATTTTTCCGAAGAAAAAATAGTATTTAGAATTATTTTAAAATTATTTTGTGTAGATTGTCAATTATATAATTAAATTTAATATTTATACTGGAGCACTCCTTTACCAACGTTTTAATGTTAATGTTATATCTGAAACTTAAGTTGTTAGGCTATTTTACTGTTTTTATTCTTTTATTTATTAACTGAAAACCAGCCAAGCAGGGGGCAAATGCCATGTACTTGTATTAATAACAACGACAGTTAAAATAATGAATAATATGAATTAATGACAAAAACAAAAAATAATAATAATAAAATAAAATTAACAATATAAGGATGAAATAAAAAGAAATTACAAAATAATATAATATAGTACAATTCGAAATAACTATAATCGGATGGCAAGAATCGAGATTTCACACTTCCTGCATGATCTGAACTTTTTAAATAATATATCATAAATGATATTATCTATTCTTTTTTCAAAGATAGCTAGGGATGGCGCACAATTTATATCGTTCGATAGTTTATACCAGTAATTTATATTACGAATAAAGAAATCATGAGTCCTTAATTTAGTTTTACACATAGTTTTTAGTATTTTTAGCCCATTAGTCTTTATTGGATTTAAATTTAACCTAAAATTATAATCTAGTTTAATAATCAAATAAAATCTTATAAGTATAGATTAAATCTTGTTTAATACGACGAACTGACAGAGAATCCAGGTTATATTGTAGAAGTTTTCGTTTATAATTAAAATTGCAATTAGGAGAGAGGCGTCGTATAAAATATTTTTGGAGTCCTTCAGTTATTTTACTTGATTTACGATATCTCGGGAAGTAACATGTAGTATTATAATCAAGAAGTGGCTGAACGAACGCTTTGTACATTTTGGTCAGGAGATCTTCAATTTTGTTTTTAAACGAACGAAAAATAAAATTTAGTTATTTTATTATTAGTTATTATATTATTTTATTATTATTAATTATGAGGATTTCTTTACTATAGTTCTGCAGTGAAGGTCGAAATCGAGATTTTCATCCACGATTATACCAAGATCGGAAATGTGTGAGACACTACTGATTATATTGCCATTAATAATAAGATTTTCTTCATTCTATATTTATATTCATTTTTATTTTTATATAACTTTAATTTCTATAAATTCTATTAGCGAAATAGGTTTTTTTCAAAATTTTTTTCAAAATTTTTCAAAATTTTGCAAAGGAGAGGCTCTACTTTTTCAACGTTATTTGTTTAGGCTATTGATTTAATTAATATTTTTTGCAGCTGAACATCATGACTCAACCGCCTTCGCAGACTGATATCACTGTTAACATCACAAGAAATCAAAAATTATCAGTGTCTATTGAAGGAGCTATTGAATCTTCACAGTCTTCGACCATTGACACCATCATTTTAAAAAGCACCGCAAAGTTCAGTAAAGGGTCCACCAATGTAAACGAATTTTCAAAAATCATATTAAATCAATTTAAAAATCACCTCTTTTTTCAAAAAAAATTTTTAGCAAGATTTCTCTCAGACGCAGTCAGTTATCCCTCGAGAAGACAAATTTTTTAATGCACAATTTTTGATCGCCATTCCTCAGGTATTTTTCTATATTTTTTTTAATCTCTGGGCCAAATTCTTATGAAGTATTTAATGTAATGTATTTATGAAGTAAATATTTTTAATGTTCTAGATATCATTTGTTAATACTGAAAAATATATTGAATGTTATAAAATATTAAATGTAATTTCGATGATTACAATGAAAATTGTGAGAGATAAAATATCAACAAAAAATATTTTGTAGAGCTGTACGATCGAGTTCTCTGTAGATTTCTTGGATAAAGCGAAAAGATATTGGGAAACTGATACGAAAGCCGAACTGAGATTGACGGTATGAATTTTTGGGCTATCAGTTTTATTGCTTCAGAAAATATATATTTGATATAAATACATAATTTTTAATCATTATCATGTTTTACTATAATTTACTATAATTACTTTAATTCTAAAACAAGTCCAATTTTAAAAAGAGAATTAAGCAATTAAGAAAAATTGATCGAATTAATCTATAAAAACAGTTTGCATCAATTTATATGAAGTATCTATTTAAGGTCAAAAATTGAGGACGTTATGGAAAAACATAAGTTAATGGTAAACACTGACTTCATGAATATTCACATGTATCATGTTTCACATCAATACTTCCTTTCTTTGCTTTTGTTACAGTACTTTAAAAAAATTTTTAGTTACTTCCAAACGGCCAGAATACAAATTATATTTACCTTTTCATTATTTTGTTAACTTATTTTTATCCGTTTTATATTCTATATTTAAAATGTTGATATTTATATAATGCGAAATTTAAAAGTAATTTTGATCGCAGGAAGCAATAAATTGGTTAATATTACCAGAAAATTGTTGTAAATACGTAAAATTTCGTTTCTTCAATATCATTGATCGTATTTAACAACTTCTGTCGGGCTGATGGAATTTCAGATATCGAATCATTTCTTTTCTGACGAGGATGGACCGCGGTATATGGTTAAACATATGGGTTTTTTTCGTGGCTTTTTGCAGCGATTGCTCATAACTGTTTAAAGAACAAACTTAACTGATTTATGTGGTCTTTTTTGATCGTTACTTTTGGTCTCGTCACTATATTTTCTATTTTCTCACTAATACTTTGCATCCTAATAGTTTATGTTTTTTCGCATCTGTGAAATCGCATATGCAATTTCCTTGCCAAAAAATGAGGGTCGCTGTGTCCATCTCAAGTGGTTATTCATAACTGGGCTCATATTAGTCAAATCATTAATCAGTTGTTCCGAATTTGAGATTTCGAGCTTAAATAGGGAGATCCACTGAGTAGAAGACTCAGTGAGTTCAAAAGTTTTTCAAATATTATATCGCAATCGGAAAAAAAATGATAACGCCAAATTATTTAACGCCAAAAATGCCGACAGATTAAATTTATGAAGGTGTTATAATATTCGATTTTTTTTCGATTGCAGATGAATAATGAAGCGATAATGACTGCAAATAACATTACTCCTAGCCACGATATACCTGAAAATAAAGTCATTGAAATTAAAGGAAATTTCAAGAGATCAAATTTTTCAATGGAGACATACTTAGTGGATTAAGACAAATAAAAGACGAAAGTCCTTTGTTGTTTCGTTTTTGATGGAAGGTTTCTCGGAAAGTATTAAATATTTCCAAGCTTTGCAAAACATCTATTATGCCAAAAGATCGGATTTCTCTTCGTGATCGCAGTAGTGGATTACATTTTGGCCTTGGACATTCATTTCGCGGTTCTTTTATAATTATCGTGATCTTAATTGAAAAATTTAGGAGGAATGCATTTTTCTTTAAATAAGGTAGATGTAAAAAGATTGTCTTGGCGTTTCCTATTGGTAAATCACTTAGTTTTCTTAAAAGAAATTGTATTTTTAGTGACTTTTGACCATTAAACTGAGTGTTACGAACTTGGCATTGGAAGAACAACTGTGATCTGTCTGCAAAACTGTATACATGTGCCTCTTGTCCAGCCATCAGATCATTAGAATATTCGAGATTATTCAATATAAATTTGTCTTCTGCACATCCTTCGCTGTCAAGAATTTCAACTGTTTGATTTCGTCCGTCTTTTACGACACATGAATGCACTATCATGCAAAATATATCTTCTGAAATAGTGTTAACTATGGAATGTATTAGGCATTTGTTAATTTTCAGGCTTTTTATCGAACTGTCACATTTAACAAATACTTTTCAGAAGCCCTTCGGGGAAACCTTTGATTTTCAGACCTTGAGCCTAATTCTTATTTATTTTCATTAGCTCCTTAATCCTATTTATATCAAATAGATGAATTAAGGTTTAAAGAGTTTCTGCATATGAAAATATGCTTTATAAAAATAAGTATATTATATATTATAGTATATATTATTTCTTTATCCATAGTCTTTAAATAATAAATAATATAGAAATAATACCAAATACCAAAATTTGGGTTCGTGTTTTATTTCCCTATTTATTGGTCTTACATACAGGCGATAGAATTACAAAAAAATATAAAACCAACATACAGAAATGAAAGAAACAAGGGAATCAAGCAGGTTAAACTACGGGAAAATACGGTAAATACCTTGGGAGAGGAGAATAAACGACTCCGCGGCTCAAACTCGCAACTTACAGACCAAATATTTCGGCAATCGACAGTAAGTACCAAAAAAATGCTAAAATATGGGGTTTTACAAAATGTTAAGAGAATAGGAGGAAGACAATTTTGCATTTGAGATTATTCCTATCTATTTTCTATATAATATGCATTAACATTTTTACCAAATCATTTATTATTTGTCTATTATTATTATTATTATTTATTATTATTTATTATTATTTATTATTATTATTATTTATTATTATTTATTATTATTATTTATTATTATTATTTATTATTATTATTTATTATTATTATTTATTATTATTATTTATTATTATTATTTATTATTATTATTTATTATTATTATTTATTATTATTATTATTTATTATTATTATTTATTATTATTATTTATTATTATTATTTATTATTGTTATTTATTATTATTTATTATTATTATTTATTATTATTATTTATTATTATTATTATTTATTATTATTATTTATTATTATTATTTATTATTATTATTATTTATTATTATATTATTTATTATTATTATTTATTATTATTATTTATTATTATCATTTATTATTATTATTTATTATTATTATTTATTATTATTATTATTTATTATTATTTATTATTATTATTATTAATTATTATTTATTATTATTATTTATTATTATTATTTATTATTATTATTTATTATTATTATTTATTATTATTATTTATTATTATTTTATTATTATTATTTTATTATTATTATTATTTATTATTATTATTTATTATTATTATTTATTATTATTATTATTTATTATTATTATTTATTATTATTATT